AGAAAAAGTAAAGGACATATAGTTTAGTGACAAACAGTACATGACATATACAGTATCTGAGAAACTTTCAACAAAATTATTAACAATTTCTGTGGATTATGGTTGTATTTCATTAAAAGAGAAGTCAAAAAATTCTTCGAGATTGTAGAAATCATTATACAGTAAAATTTCCATAACTGCAGCTTCAAATCTTTTTATCGGAGTATTTTTTAGTCCATTTGGTAATTTATTGAAAAGTTTCAGAGCAGTATAATTTGTTGCCTGCTGAGTTCTTTTCATTCTATGGTAGGGAATACTCAATAAATTTTTATTTCTGGTGTTGTAGTAGTGCTATGATGAATTTAGAGATAGTGAATTCTCATTTTCTTTAATGTACATCACGCATTGTAATATAAAAACTGATGGTAGAGTTAATATATTTAATTTTTAGGAAATCATAATGAAGAAAAGAGAAATGAAAAATTTTTATTTGTAACTAACATTACTGCAGTAACGTATACATTTTCAAGTTTGAAAATGTCTGTATAGGACGAAACTGCAGTAATGTTAGTTACGAATAAAAGTGGTAAAAAACATAAAAAGTTTCATTTCACTTTTCTTCACAAATAATGATCATATCGACAAAATGCATAATAATAAAAAAGAGTAGTAATTGATAATGATAACTATCATAAAAAAAAATCTAGCAAAGGCCTCTTTCACTAGCAGAGAGAATAATTTGATATAGAACCATAGAACGACATAGATAAACAGCGAATGAGAAAATGCAGTTTGAATCTAATTTTTAATTGGTCTATACTCACTGGAAAGGTCATTGAAGAATTTGGCATCATTATACTCGTATAAGAAGCTACGGATAAAATGAAACTCGAATGTTTAGGAATAATAATATGACTTCATTTACAAAAGATAAATACGAATACAGATACGAAGTTGCAACATAGAATGAATGAATAAAGCGATTTTAGGATGAGTGCAGAGCACTTGTTTCCCATAGAAATTGACATATGTATGGATGGTATTATGTACAAAAAACATATGCAAAAATGTTATAAAAAATGACGAAATGTGGAAATTGTAACAATTTAAGAATGCGTGTGTATATGAATAAAATAAGTTGAACATCATAAAAAATACACAATGCAATAATAATAATAACTTTGTTTACTTAACAGGTAACTGTACAGAATAAGAAATATAAATACATTCCAAAATAAATATTAAATGAATGAGTACCCAAGTACTTGTTTCCTTATAGCAATAAAACATACAGGAATGAAAAATAAATGCTTGTTGGCTTCATTTTATGCTCGAAATGTATTCATACCTTCAGCTAAATATTGTTTTTTCGTATTTCAATATTTTATGAGTGTGTAGCATTATTACACCGAGCATTCTCGTTATCTCTTTCCGCTGAAAATCTAGATAGGGAAATTGAAACAATTATACAGATTGGACACAATAATGGTTTCAACGCAGAAACAATCCAGAAGTTAGTCAGAAAAGTCCTCAAATTTTCGTAAATATTAACATACCCCTAGATTAAACAATCAGAAATGAATATTACTGGAGTTTTTTCCCAACACCAAATGGTTATTTTCAACACCTCGACACGTGTTCCGATCACCAAGTGATCATCTTCAAAGAGGAAGATTCAAAACAGTTTTAATCTTCTATTTAATAATAGAATTGTAAGCGATAAAAGTATAATTGCTTACAGTTTTGGTCTGTATTTTTCTACTGTAGCAAAGGATTTGATCAAGAAACATTTTTCATTTACAACCTTCAACGACTACACAACAATGCATGTAACTGAAACTTTTTATTTTACTCCTGTACACCCAATAGACATTTGTGAAATAATATCTAGCCTGAAAAACACAAATGCTGTGGGAATTGATTGCATTTCTACAAAACTTATAAAACATATCATGAACTGCATTTGTGAACCTCTAGCATACATGATAAATATTTCAATAGAAACTGGAATATTTCCTCACAAATTGAAAATTGGAACGGTTACGCCGATATTTAAAAAAGGGGATCCAACTATGATTGAGAACTACAGGCCTGTAACAGTCCCAACAGTNCGTGTCTAGAGGAACAAAAAGCAAAATAATTGGGAAGCAGTTTCGGGAGCGTGGTCATGTGGGGCAGATAAAAAAGCAGCTGCCAATGCAATGGGTGATGAACTTGAATGAGATGTGATGCTTGAGTTTGAGGAAAACCCACATACATTGAGTAGACAGGCATCCACTACATTCAGTGTAGTGGATGCCTGTAGTGGATATCGGGAGCTAATGAAAGACGATTTTGATAGAAGGACTCATTTTTGTGAGCAAATGATGGACTTGTTGGGTAACAATATCATCCAATTAGAAGACATTATGTTTTCTGATGAGTGTACTTTGTCTCTTAACGGTCATGCTAATGGACAAAATTGCCGCTACTGGTCAACGGAAAATCCTCACTGAATGAGAAAAGAACACACGCAATACTCTTCAAAGGTTAATGTTTGGGCAGGGATTGTAGGAAACCAAATCATTTACATTGAGGGCAACTTGAATGGCGATAATTATTCGGCACTACTTCAAAATGATGTCAATCCAAGTTTGGCAAATTTAAATCCTGATCCAGGAAACCCTCAAGTTCCAGTGGATACGATACGGTTTCAGCAGGATGGAGTACCACCACATTACCAAGTTGATATCCGGCATTACCTCGATACATTTCCCAATCGGTGGATAGGGTGGCGAGGATCGATCTATTGGCCAGCGCGATCACCTGATCTTTCATCATTTCATTGCGATTAGGTCGATCACGCCTGATATGTTGAATAATGTTAGAAAACAGTTTTATTTGAAATTAGGATAAATCTGACGAAATGAACTCCAAATATTCAAACCCGTCTCAGATATACCTACACAGTAGGTTGAATGGACGCCTATTAGAAAACAACTACTCCACATTTGAAGTTAATTTCATTAGATTTGTTTACTGCCCGTCTTCATGCATCGCCCACTGACTAATAAGAATGAAATTAAGATGTTGCCAAGACGTTCGCCGTGAACTTTTTGAACATCTACTTCGTTAATATCCATAGTTCTTTTTCGTATTCTACATGTCATTACGTTTTGAATTACATTTTATTTTTGAGTGTATTTTATCGAATTTCGGTAGACACATGATTTTAATTTATTTTATCTTAATTGTTGCAACAAACTTGAAAGCGATAACATTTTGAAATAGAGAATGAAGAGACGTTTGAAACGAAATATCACAAACCTATATTTCCCATTTAAAAAATGGGGGGTTGTACCTGTCATTCGAAGGGGGTTGAAGGTAGGGGTGGAACTTTCACGTTGAAGAATGTCAAATTATAATTTAGATTCGAACTGTTTTAGGAGTTCTTTGAATATGTACAGTAACCCAAATAATGAATTTATTCCATTTGACTTTCACGCACTGTATAAGGGTGTACAGTACTAATTATGTCAGTTTAATGTATACGTTTGAAAATGTTCTTGTAGGACGAAACTGCAGTCACGTTAGTCACAAATCAAAGTGGAATGAAATGAATAATAGTTTAAAAAACCAAAAAGGCACCCTTCAATAGCAACACAAACAAAAAATATCAAATAATTCGAAACTAATTTGAGATTGTGTTCAATATCGATAACAAGTCTTATTTTAAGTAGTAGAAAGCCAAAAACTTTCTTTCCTCAAAAAAAAATTAATCACTCCTAAAAATATAACCCCTTCAATTCAAGTCGTATGGCTTGATTTAACTGATGTTTTGTAATGAGTGTGAAATGATAATAAATCTATTTACTACATATTTACTACGACTACATCATTTTTATCAGCTTGTATGAGCCTTGGGCTGGGTAGTATTATTATAAATAGTTTGGTATCATGCAGTGTAGATTACTAATAGATCAGTATATAAGTAGATTATTATAAAATGAGTAATATAGGGGTGATGAATAAGAATGTATCGATTTATTTCACGCCCTCATTTTTTCAAATATTACTGGGTTGTTTCATTTAAGCCAAAATATATCTAATTTTGTTCATTACATAGTCAATTCGATTTTTCCAAATCAAGTATGAATTTATGAGAATACTTGAATATTCAACTTTCTCTGCAGTCGTAATTTCGACTTTTTTCCGGTCCACTGTCAAATTGTAATATTTTGAAGTGTGGTGAATTTGATTGATATTAAGTGAATAGAAGTCTATTTTGAAGAAGTGGTGAAATTTGGAAGAATCCTCTCTCTATATTGATTTTTATGTAATGCCAGTTATGTCCACTTTAGAATATTACATTATCATCAGCAAAACTAACTTTCAGGTCAAAAAGTTCGTTCAAAAAGATAATCCAGAGTAGTGGTCTAAGTATTTTCGTTTGAGGTATTCTACATGGTATGATACTTTCATAACTCAAAATTCCATCGACTTTTCGTCGATGCTTTCCATTCCATATGTAACTTTGCATCAACTGAAGAGGTGAACCTCCGAAACCATTATTTTTCTGTACTTGTAGAAGCATCGAATGCCTATGCGAGATCGATGAAAATACATGAATTTTAGCGATTCCATCTGTTGTTGATTTGTCTATCCAAGGGAATATTATATTTGTCTGAAAAGCGTGATATTCTCTTGTTAATGATTTTTTCAAATATCTGGGCGATGATGAAATCAAGGAAATAGGTCTATGATTTTTCAAGTCGATTTCATCTCTATTTTTGAATATTGATGTCCGATTTATCCTTTCAAATGGGGCTGGAAACATGTCCGTTTTCAAACTTCCATCAATTAGATAACCCGAAACACTAATCTGGTTGGCGATTCGGCAATCGGTTGATATCATAGTGATTGAAAAAACAATGAACCATTTGTTCAAGTTTCACTGAATTTATTCCATTCTGTAGAATTGTATGAAGTAGCCATCGAAGATCTTTATTTCTCGTTGATAAGCTGATAAGCATTACTATAAAGGCTGGAATTGATATTTATTTGTCTTCTTTTTCTCCAGTTCATTGTTAGGATTTTCCAACGTGAAGTTCCATTTTGGAAACTGGTTGATACAATCATGAAATTTGCGTAAGTTACTCATTTGTTAGTATTCATTGTAAGTTGTGCCACTTACTTCCTGGGCTATAAAACAGGACTGAATTCACCATGCCTGATATCTGTTCCCCCCATAGACGGGACATTTCATGACGATGTTAACAATGTTGATCTGATAACAATAGATGCGCATCTCACAGACTTTCCTTTTTTTTATCACATATTGGTGCCTTGATCTTTTGTGCCGGATTCTAACAACTTGATGACTTTCTGATTGATAGTTCTGGAAGAACACGTCAAGGTTAATCTCTCTCAGTCCACAACAAGTACTATTTCTGAACTCTAGAACTGTAACACTCTTGCTTCGGCGTTTTATCAACCAGGTTCGAGAGAAGTGTGTTGCAATTCTGGTGTTTGGACACAGTACTTTTTTGGATTCATGCTACACTGGAAGTTCCAGTTGTACCTTTTCCTATTTGATCAGCTTGTTATTTCCTAAGGAAGTCCATTTTTCATTCCAGATGATCGTGCAGTAGTAGTCTTGTTGAGATAAATTTTTGAAAATGCCTAGCGAGATAATTGAAACATGATTGCCTAGTGATAACATCTGCTTTATTGTTGTGATTCGTATATGGAAGAGAATTTAGAATATCTTGGTACATTCATTCTCCTGAGCTGATTTCCATAGTTCTTTTTCGATACTGAGAAGAATAGCATTTCGGGGGATGAGTTATTTGAGACTTCGTATAGCAGTGAGAAAAGCAGTATTACAAAAAAATCTCCCATCGATGCAGGCTGCTGATTTTTCAACAGTATATCCCATGAAATGAAAAACGTATAATTCGTGGCGTTTTTAAGTCTACTTAAGGAACTCCCAGCCAGAGAATGCTTTTATACTAATGAGGAATTAATTTTTTTCTATTTTGATGTGATATCGAAGTATCTCACAGTTCTTGTTAATCACTATAGTGATAATTTCGCATTGTTTCGTTTTGTCTTGTTGTCGTTGGGTTTGTCAACTAAACCTTACATTGTTCTTCAAGAACATTTGAAACATTGACTTGTCCTGTTTGAAGGTGACTGACAATGTTTCATGATGAATTTTTTTAGTTCGGACTTCCATTGCCTGATATTATATAAAATGAAATTCCTGAAAGAGCAAATAAAAAAAGAATTAAAATAGAATAGCTGAAAATAACAATTATATCGAGCAAAAAAAACCTGAAGTGAAATAAAAGTGAAATAAAATGCAAGTAAAAATAGAACAATTGAACAAAAAATAAAAAATAGAGATAAAAAATTAAGAGATTCCAAGCCAAGTTACTTCACGACGTTTCGTTTGTTAGTATCCACAATCGTCTTCGGGTAATGACTGGACTGATTTCATGGATCCCTCCAGTTTTCCACCAGTTATCTACAGTGTGTTGAGGCTATTGCTATTGCATTCATTGCGTATACTCTGCAGGCTTACGACATATGATATTTACACATGACTGGTGCAAAATGAACCCAGTTACATACTACTAAAGGTTTTGCAAAGATAATGTTTTGCACTAGAGTAGATCAGGGGTTCCCAACGTTTTTGCACCTGCGTATCACTTTTTGAGAAATATTGGCGTACCACCAGACCTATAATTTTGATGAACGTATAATATTTACTCGTCTAAAAGTGTTATGCTTTTTCAATTAAATTCCTGAAAAAACTTCATATTTAATGGTTAGATATTTGTTTATTTATAACATGCTCATAATAAAGGAGAAATAAAAAGATTGTAATACTATTAATTTACAGTTCCATTCATTACATATAGATCTAAAAACATAAAAATGAAAAATTATCAACAAGTCAGCAAAAAATTAATCATCATACAAAATATAATTTTAATAGTTTTTAGTGCGAAACTTGTTGTTTGCCTGTGATTAAAATATCTTTTTTTAATTAAATTTCTGAGAAAACTTCATATTTAATGGTTAGATATTTGTTTATTTATAACATGCTCATAATAAAGGAGGAATAAAAAGATTGTAATACTATTAATTTACAGTTCCATTCATTACATATAGATCTAAAAACAAGTCAGCAAAAAATTAATCATCATACAAAATATAATTTTAATAGTTTTTAGTGCGAAACTTGTTGTTTGCCTGTGATTAAAATATCAACATTAAGGGTAATGGAACTTATCTTCACTCTTAAGTTCTCTTCAACACTTATTCTGCTTTTATATTTGATTTTTATGTACAAGAGTTCAAAAAATCCACTCCTACACAAGTAACTCGTAACAAATAGCATCAAAAATAGCAGAGCTTGCCGGAAGAGCAAAGGGTACTCCATTTAACATCCGATCCAGAAATTAGTTAAGATTTCTCTTTAAAATAATCTTTCATGGAACTATCTTCTGTAAGGTGGATTAAACTTTCTTTCAGTTCCAATTCATTTGGTGAGGTTCCCGAAAAAGGATTTCTGATCCAGTCCACTTTTGAATAATCTTCAAAGGAATATTTCTTGAAGCTTTTTTGAAGGCCTTTCAAGTGAACAATGATATCTGCAACCACATCTGGCATTGGAGATATTCCATTTTTTTCAAAAAATAATAATAGAGTGGGGAATGCAGATAAAGTATCCTTCGTATTTGTGAACAAAACAGGACTAACTTTCTCTTGAAGGAGTTTATTTTGCCACTGGCTGTGAAGGCTGTTGTGTTTGGTCCCTGAAGTCCCAAGTTCAGTGTGTACAGTTTGTCAAAAATGTCGGCTAGGTAAGCCAATCTTGACAACCATTCTTCATCAGCAAACAATTTTATCATGTCATGATTTTTTTCACTTGAAGACATGAAAACTTCTGATCTCAGTTCAAAGAGACGGTTTAAAATTTTCCCGCGAGATAACCACCTCACTTCTGTGTAAAGTTTTGAACTCGTCATCCATTTCTTCACACATCAAGGAGAATAATCTTGTGTTTAGAGCCCTAGCCTTTATGAAGTTAATAACTTTCATAGCATCTTAGAGAACGGAGTTGATATTTTCCGGCATATCTTTAGCAGCTAATGCTTCTCGATGGATGACACAATGCGTACTTTTGCATTCAGGGGCAACTCCCTTCATTTTTGCTGTTATCCCTGTCAATTTTCCTGACATAGCTTTTGCCCCATCTGTACATGAGCCAATTCACTTGGACCAGACACTGCCTACTTTGAGCACATATTCATCAATTACCTTGAAAATGAGTTCCGCCGTGGTATTTGATTCAAATGGTTGGCAGAAAGAAAACTCTTATATCACCTCTTCATTATAATCAAATCGCACGAAAATAAGTAGTTGTGCCATGTTTGTAACATCAGTGCTTTCCTCAAATTGAAGTGCGAAATATGTCTATTCTTGGAGTTTGTTCTTCAATATTATCAGACATATCGTCAATTTTTTTTTTTACTGAAGTATTTGACAGTGGTATTTTTTTAATTTCTTTGGCTGCCTTTTCGCCTAACAGCGGCCGGCAGTAAAAGCGTCTCACCTATTTTGTGAGGCTTTCTATCTTTTGCAATTCTTTAACTAGCAAGGTATGGCGCCTCTATTGAGTCAGTATCAGTATTGACAAACTTCGTCAAACATTGGGTTTCTTTCTTTAAAAAAAATAGATTTTCTTTCAAAAAAATTCAATGGGCTTGATATTTTGCTGTCGCATCAGTAAAGAAGGCTTCATGGATTGGTTCGAAAGTGTTTCAAGACATACAACACATTGAGGAATAGGAATGTCACTGGTTTCAGTCCCTTTAAAACCGTACTGTACGTAGCTTTCATCGTATTTACGATTGGCCGGTTTTTTAGCATAATCCTATGAAGTAAAAGAGGACTTCAGAAATCGTTTCATAGTTCATTTTTCTTATAGAAAATCAGAATTAATAATTACAACACCCACAACGAACCTATGATGCCAAGTGAAAGTAAAAGACAATCCTTTTGAAGACCCACAGGTAGAAAATTAAACACCTTTTGTTTCCCAATTGTAATATCTGGGGATTCCTAGGTAAAATTCCTGAAGTGTTTTATTGTTTTATCACATATGAATTATAAATTCCGATGTAATAGAAAAACAAATATGTCATGTCGTTCACTGGGTTATGGGTATTTCGTTTTTCTAGCGACACGTGAGCCGAGTCATGTTTGCTATTAACGGCATGATACTCACATCACTCTCGCGTACCACCTGAAAAATTACCGCGTACCACTGGTGGTACATGGTACGTGTAGTTCTAGTCAGTCAGTGGTAAGATAATAATTATGCTGAACAATAAATTGGAATAGCCTCCTACATCATCGGACCTATCTCCTCTTGATTTCGTTCTCTGGGGCCACCTAAAATCTTTTGTTTCCAAGACGCAACCTGACTCAATAGAACAACTGAAGAAAAGAATAATCCGAAAATACGTAGCTATTTCCAAAGAAAAATTTGCCAATGTACGTCAAAAGTTTGAAAATAGACTCTATTACTGTTTTGACAAAATGGAAATCATTTTGAATATTTCTCAAAATAATAATAGAAAAAAACTGAAAACTACTACATCGAATGTAGCATTGGAGAGCATTTTTTGAGAGCTTTCCGATAGAGTGTCACATGTGACGCAAGTAGGGAGTTGCCATTTGAAACTATAAAGTTGGGGTGGCTGAAGGCGAGGGGGTGAGTGAGAACAAATTTGCAATCATTGAAGTTGTTATCAGAGATTTCTTATATTTCATTTGATTGCTCAGATATAGCTATTGTGAGTTTTCAAATTTTCAAATTGGCACCCTGTATATAACTTCTTTTTTTTCTGTCAAAGTATCATATCAGTTCTTCCATGGAGAACGTTCCCGTTTTTACTTTATAAGCGAGCTTTTGAAGACATAAGAGCTGGAAAGTTCTAGAAGAGTCTGGAACATTGAGGAAAATTCGAAAGACATGCATATGCTAGCGCGAATATTTTTGTGGTGAAAAAATAATTTGTAGTGAATTGTTTTCAATGATAGCTTGCAGGACATTTCAACCAATTGACAAAAAACAATATTGAATTAAACACATAAAAGTTTCTCCCGAATTACTCCATTGGTGAAAGCCATATGAATATCCCTTCCATAGTTTTTGAGTTCATCTCATTTAGACAGTCAGACGCGGTGGGTGTTTTTGTTTCATGATATTTATAGTCGCATTCTTGATTTTTTCAGTTTCCAGCGGTCCCTTTCAAACTCAGCAACCTGTGAAGGCATGGAAAGTGATAATCACCAAAACTGTCTTCAGATCAGAATTGATCGACCACTTTACGAAAATGATCAACTGAGGCAAGATCTCCGATATGAGAAACAAAAAAAAACATGTAAGTTATGATGATAATAATGATGAACATAATAATAGCGTTTATTGGCCAACAGTTTTCCCATTTACACAGCAAAATTTAACTTGTTCGATTTGTGACCTATTTATTTTGTAGACATTCATATTGAATAATAGAAATTAGACAAAAGTTATTTTCTTTATTCTATATGGAGCAAAAATTTCTACAACATAAATAGGTCATCATCAATCGTACAAATTACTTGTATTCCTACTGAATTCATTACGTTTTAGCCTCAGAAATGTTAAGTATCTGTATAATTTACCTTTTTTCATAGACAAAATTATTGCATACGATAGGTTACTGATGAATAGAAAAATACGTTGAATTCACGCAGGTACTCATCAGGGTTATCTAAAAAGTTTACTCTTTCTACACGTGTATAGAGTTCTAGACTTGATAGTTCTGAATGGCATTCTCTGGCGTAAAAAAAAGGTCGAAAAGAAGGTCGATAAAAACTCTGTTATTCACTACCTGGGTGATACTTAGTATTTTACTGTTTTCTAGCTATGGAAAATGATACTGATTTGCTTATAGACTGATCGAGTTAGGGGTGTATTATACTTATCAAGCCTAATCGATCCCAAGATCTCTTTATATTTGCAGAAAAAATAAGAATTAAAAAAGCAAGAATTTCAATTGGCCGCATGTTGACCAATAAAATTAATCGTGTCTAGAGCGGAGTTACTAAGTGTATTGGTTTTTAATATCCAATCACAAATCTGATGATCCAATTTGACAGACGCCATTTCTGTTGTTTTTGTTGTCAACTCGCTGTGAAAACAACTGTTACAATTATCTAATTAAAGAACTTTTTTTTGTGAAAGGTAGGTCTCAGCGGGTGCCTATTTTGCTGCATATTCCGTGTCATTAGTTTACATTCCGAAAAATATTTTTTCAGGTTATTTTTGGAATAAATTTTACCATTACTACCTTGGCCGAGTTAAAATAAAATCAAAACTTTGCATTCTTTGACAAAATACAAAGGCTGAAATGAATATCATATAAATAAAAGGGACCTACTAAATATACCATCTACAGTTTCAACTTCTCATTCTTCATTTCGGTACCAAAGTATTGCAAATTTTTCAAGTAAAATGCATCGATCACTTCAAAATCGACTCTTGGTAAGTTGTCGGAGTCAGCTTTAACAAAACTAGGCCCATCATTCATTTTGAAATTATTTTAACAAAAATACGAAATTATGTGTAGAAACCATTGACATTAGAAAGAGCACATTTTCGCATAGACTACAGAGGGAGCTGGCTGACTGGATGACGATATGGCTAATATACCAGTAACGTTGAATTTCTTATTTTTGGTGGGTGGCATGAATGCATAATTGATTTATATTATTAGGGTTCATGCACATTCGAAAACCATTTGAAAATACAGCTCGTTGAATTCTATTTAGAATCATATTTAGATATGAATTGTACTATATCAATTATCAAGGCAAATATTATTGTCCCTTTTTATGCTTAATTCGTGAATTCGAGCAATCTTATTATTATATATTTATTTGTTTGCTGGCTTCATTCCTAAGAAATATGAATGAATAATTACAGAAAATTTCAATTGCTCGTTCATTTTCTCAGGAAAATGGAGTACTAGTGATGTTGCTGCAAGATTTCTATGACACTCCTTATGGAGATTAACATGGGAAAACGGCTAAGGTTTATTCTGGCGTTTTTTGGACCTCAGGCCCAATTCACACGGATGAGGTGAAGGTCAGCGCCTCGTCTCTGTCAGACGTCCATTATGTGTAAACTTAGCCTTAGCCTTCAAAGTCCACTTCAGACCACCTCCACTCGGTCCCGACAAGCGATTCAAGCGTGGAACTCGACCCCTTTAGTACTCCGCATCACCGATCGCCCCCCTTAGTACTCCGCTCTCGACCCCCTTGGTTCAATATCATCACGATTGTATGACCAGCACACATTCAATATTATCGCGAAAGCGTGCGATCGCGCTGAGGGGCCGAGTTCCACGCTTGAATCTATTGTTCCTATTGGTCATCCGAACAAGAAGCGGGAATAGGACCGTGACGTCACCGGCAAACCACATTCGATTTTTAATAATTAATTACGGGAAAACTATGATACTTAGAGAGCTGAAACAAAGTGTACTGTTTTTCAATTTGAAATTTCTATCAAGTGAACTATAAAGCAAAAATCATGAAACAAGCCCATTATGTGAGCATGCAAACGCTAAGCTGTCAAACCTAGGACATTCACCGTTCATAGATTTTATTACACATTTATGCCCATACATTCTACAAATGTGAAACAGCCTATTGTTCTTACCCATAAGTAATCAGAGCTAGCAAACAGGTTAAGGTAAAGAATCGGTCAGGTAGTGAATAACATTAATAACACTAACAGATTATTAGGAATCAACTCAATGACTCTCATCTCCTGATGATGCTAACTTGGTTAGCAGAACACACGTCGAGAGAGAGATTTTTTGTTCTAGTGAGCAAAGGTTATTTTCAATTGATACACTATATCTTTCAGGAAGTTTGGGAATGGAATATTTCAGGAAAATTAGTATTTCGATTATATAAAAGTAATTACTTTGAAATGATACTTTTCTTCAATTTAATATCTGTGTGGAAGTAGTTGTTTTGAAAGGATTTCTTCTTGATTTCTTCTTCAAGTTTGTTTTTGATTCACAAATTTTCATACTGAATTTCAATTCATTAATTTTTTTCTACTACTTTCTATGGAAGTGTTGCGTTTTTGATGAAATCAAACAACGTTTTACTTTATTTCCATTTAGTACTGCCCATCATATTCGGTCTTCTACAAATTCGGGTCCAGGAGGCATTTTCAGCTGAAGGGGTGTAGGAGGAGATTTTCACAGAAAAAGTTGTTTTCATATTACTAGGAAAATAAAATGAAAGTCAGATAAGTAAGTAGATCGAATATAACGAGTGCAGCATTGTATCATGATAACCTTTCCATATAAGAGGAAGCAAAATAATCTGAGATTGGAAATTATCCATTCATCAATTATGAGTACACTCGAAAGTAATCAGTTGAAGTATATTCAGATAAGCTATTTGAACTGAATACTGATGTTTGCTTCAAATAATTTAAACAAAATACTACAAAAACTCCATAGCGATAGTAAAGTTTGTTTCTGACACCACTTCCATATGTTGGTAGGGCCAGGATGCAGTGACACCAAGAGGTTTATGGTGTCTAATACTTATTCGAACTGGACGAAATAAAATCAGCTTCCAAACGGAACCGATATCTTGATTTGGTGAATCAGTAACAGGGGAACTATAATAATTGATTTGTTTTTCCTCATTCTATTTCACTTTTGTGAGACTTACTTACCTATAGTCTCTTGGAGATGGCTTCAAATCTCTTCCAGAAATCGGAAAATTTTGGATCAATAGAATTTCTGTGTATTTTTCTCTGTATCTGTATAGTAGGAAGGGTGAGTGTTGGCCCATAGCACTTAGGCCACCATCCATCCATGGAGGTGTTTCCTTAGTTAACAGTGGCAGTCAGAAATCCTACTGTTGAGTAGAGGTTTTTCCTGATCATCGCCAGTTATTTCTTCGGTGCCAGCTTCCCAGGGTCGCACAGGGTGATCCTGGCAAGACTGCATCCTTTGATTCCATCCCAGTTCCGCAATTGTCGGAGTCATCAGGCCGTAGGTATCACTGAGTTCTAAAATTCTTAGTCCAGCCGCTTCCTTGGCTAAAGAGTCGGCAATGCGATTACCTTTACTCCTGTTGTGCCTTTCAACCCATCTCAGGATAATGTTATTATCTACAGAGGCTTTGGCTAAATCTTAGCGGCAATCTAGTACTAGTCCTGAGGTAACACGTTGTCTGTTCAAGACTACTCGGGCTTGTCTACTATCAGTGCAGATTGTTATGTTTTTGCCAGAAATTTCTTTCCGGGTTATTTCTTTTGTGGCGATTGAGATACCAGCCAGTTCTGTTTGAACCACGCTGGTATATTTTCCCATTCCCCACTTAATCCTAAGGCTTAGTGATCTGGAGTAAACTCCACATCCTGAGCCTTCTTTGGTTTCTGAGCCGCCTGTATATATGCGTATTGCAGATGGTAGACTCTGTGTCTGTATTTTGTAGGGTTTATTGAACATAAACCTGTGTTCAATTGAATCACTGGCTGCCTGCAGCAGCCGTATTTGATATACTTTTTGGATGGCCTTTGCTTGTAGAACTTTCGGTCCCTATGCAATGGCTCCGTAAGTTAACATAGATCTTATTATTGCAGTGTAGATCCAAGTGACCACACGGGGTTAAAGACACCATGTGCGTTCCACTGTCTTCCGACATTGCTCATAAGCCACATATGCTCTTTTTTCTCTGCTCTGTTGGTGAGAGTTTCATTTTAGCTTCTTGTCGAGGGTGGTACCAAGGTATTTCACATCTTGAGAGAACTTTAGTTTGCTTTCGAAGATTTCTGGAGGTTTTAAGTCCAATGAACTTCTTTTCCTGGTGAAAAAGATCATTTCATTCTTGGGATTGATCGACAGTGAATGTTCCTTATACCATGTTTCTATTAATTTGAGCGCATCCTTTCGGTCTATTAGACAGTGTGTTCACAAATTTGCATCTAGAATTTGCATGTAGAATTCATTATTCATTATATTCAATCCATCATTCTGTGTATTCATTTTCATGTGTGTACTTTGACGACGTCTGTTTTTCTCTGCATTCAATGATTTTTTCATGATGAAGTGAATTCTAACTGACTGTAAAAATCATCTAGAATCTTGGAGTTGTTCATAAGCAGATATCTCTCTCTCTATTTTAGATGGTCGTTGCTTTCTATCGTCAGGTGCATATGACGAATGCTCCTCCTGTTGGTTAACAGGAGCTTCGTCGGGGGGCGCAGCGGTCTTGCACAAAGCAATGCTGCCACCCATTTTTGTTTTTTGACTTTGTATAATAAAAAACACTAGTTTCTTTTTAACAAAAACCATTTGATTTTTTTAAGTCGCCTCCTACTTGGGAGACCTTTTGATAATTCTTCACATATATAGCCCCCTTTACGTGGTTATCCGAACCACCCCGGCCTGGATACCGGCGTGAATAAAGGGGGCCACTCATTCATCACTTTTTTAGACACTCCACATTTCAATTTTGATACGACACAAACGGAGCCCCACGATAGCACATGGCATCCGCGTACCTTCTTTGTGGACGGACGTTATCAGCACGTCCGTCCCCTACCACGGCCACCACCGAACCCCAAGCAGATATCTCAACTATTGCGCTTTTTCGCTGTCGGCCAGTTTTTCTTCCATTCTAGTGAAGGTTGGTTTAAGCTAGTGAATAGTTTTATTTACTTACGTCCTCATATGAATTTGTCAATATATATTCAATAGACTTCGAGACATTTGCACGTGCGTGATACACATGAATGTGATGGCAACTGTACAAGTTTGTTTTGAAAAAATATGTTCACCACTGAATTCGATGAACCTGTCGTTAAGAATCCTTGAATACTTCTGCAAAAACTTCAAATCCAAAGACGAACATTGGACTACTGTTTCCATAAAAACTGTGTTACATATATTTTCAAACCATCAAGGATAGGGGAGTGTCTATCGTGTGAGATTTGGAAAAGTTGATAATCGTTTTTGCTGCAGAGTCTTTCTAATATGATAACCGACAAGAATCCAGGATTTTGAGTCGAATTTTTATTATTCCTTTACTGTTAAACTTTTATGGAGAACACTGTAATTGTGTAGGCCTGAATTGTTTGGGTTTTTTCGACTCTACATTGCAATCCACAAAGGACTCTTGTGGCTCTGAAAATATAGGTAGGGAAACACATTTTGAAAGCAAATGATGCCATAATTGATGGGTATTGGTTGTATGCTCTCTCTTGAGTTACATTTTTTGTATTCAGTTTTCATCGAATTTCTCTGGAACATCTGGAACCTTCATTCATAATGAATTATTGCCACTATGTTTTCTATCACCAAATATCATCGGTAAACTCCGATTTGGCTTGTATTATAAACGAATTCTGATATTTGGGGTGTCAAAAGAGACAGTTCCGTTTCCGATATGATGGTAAACGGACGTGCCGATAGCGACCGTCCACAAAAAAGGTACGCGGGCGCCATTATGTGTTGTGAATGTCCGCCGTTTTATAACGAGCCAGCAATCGTAAAAATTAATAATGGTGTTAATGAAAATCGTTTGTGTTTTGAAATAAATAGTACCCCCATTCACGCCGGTTGAAGGCCGGGGTGGACTGGATGTCCACGCAAGAATGATATCTTATGAAGAAGACGATAGTTTTATTTCTAAGCACAGTTTACCTCATTTCGGATACAGACTTGTAAACTGCAACACAGTCTCCGTCCCCCGATGAAGCTTTTGTTATGTAGCAGCTAGTTACGTAACAGGAGGAGCATTGGTCATATGCGCCCGATGATAGGAAGCAACGACGATCCAAAATAGATAGAGAGAGAAATGTGTCGAAAGCCTTCCCAAAATATTTGGCAACAAAGACAGTGTCGATCATTGTTCAGCATTATTTCAGGCAATATTTTTGCAGCATTTGATAGTTAATCTTTTCTTCTATGAGTTATTAAAGCTGGCTTACACTAAACCCCCGACGATTCAGTTCCTGATTCACAGTAATATTTTTTTATCCTAATTCAAAAACGCGGATTTTTTCAATAAGACTACTTGAATGAGAACAAGAGAAGCCAATAAAGCAATAACATCATTATTATCAATTAGGACCTGGAATAGATGTAGAATTGAAAACTCTATGCTAATTATATAACTGGCTTTCCGTGAAAGTGGAGAAACTCTGTTATTGCTATGCTAATATTATCATTTCGTCCACGATCAGCATTGCTAGGATGTTCTTGACTTTCATCATCCCTGATAGAAAAGTTTTCTCTCCAACAGGTTCTGATGACCTATCAGTTACTAATACCATAAGAAGTTTCAGATGAAAAGTTTTAGCAAAACTGAAAATTATAATAAAATTATGTTTCATTAACTGATAATCTTGTTACCAGTTTCAAGTTCTTATCTGAGGACATCAACTCACTTTCTTCACGAACAATCATTTTTCTTTCAGTTTTCACTCGATTCTGTGGAGACGAAAAACCCACCTTCAAAAACATGATCACCAGCACTGTCCCAGCATTATCGTGGCTTCCACGATATCGGTGGAAGGAAGAATTCATGCCAGATTTGATATCAGGAATAACAGTGGCTATAATGCATATCCCACAAGGTAATGTTTCAATGCCTTATGAATTATATCTACCTACTTGTTTTAACCGATGTATGTCTCAGTTCAAATATGTTACTTGTCCAACAATTTTATTTTTCTCCGTCAACTGTCATAAATTGGAAAGTTACTGATATTAGAGTGATAACTATTCTGTTGGATTCAAATTCAGTTCATGACCAAAAATGTATCATGAGATGGCTCTTCTATAGATGAATTTACTATTCTTTGAAAAAATATGGTTTGTTTCCAAACAGTAACAATGAATGAACTCGAAAAAATAAAAATTAATTGGCGCTCCGGGGCGACTTCATTAATTCCACTGGCGCATTTGCTTCTTCAGCTGCAGGAAAAACCCGAAAAAACCTGCAGCACCACATCATCTGAAGATCTTGATCTGCCAATGTCTTCACAATGTCAAAACAAAATGTAGGGTGTCTCGAGAGGCTCTAATAAATTCAAAACATCGCCAGAACATGTGTCACGACTATCGTCAAAATTAAACCAGTTAGTTTCGTTTTTGACAAAGGCGTAATAATGACCAAATTCAACGCCAGAACCAGAGTGAACAATGACTGCATAAATATTATAATAGTGGTCTGCTAGATTGAAGTGTTCATCAATTTCGAACTTTCGAAAGAGTTTGGTACTTCCGTCAGAGGTTGAGTCTTGTTTGGAGATCATCAGTTATTTGATTGAGTGGTGCCTCCGCTATACTTGTTTCCTTATAATAGTCAGTTTGTTTGGCGCATGTTTGGCAATATAGTCGATCATCACGTGTTAATAATTCCATTTTCAGATGATTTAACAATGAGCTTTGCACGGGCTGGTTATTAGTCATATTAGGAAACGCTAGATGAAGTTCCAGAAATTCACATACGTTTTTGCTGTCTCTTGAACATTTACTACAAAGTAAACCAGTGAGAACAAGAACCCCAAGAATTCAGAACGATTCTCTTGTTGTCCTAACGAGTATCTAGTGGACTTCCAAGACTCCAGGAAATCGGTTGGAGGAAAAGATGATACATTCTCACCATTATCATTTCTTAAGCTGTGATCGATCCTTTCAGGTGAAGAAGGGTTTCGTAGAGGAATCAATTCGGCTTTTGCTTCGTGAAACTCTTCCACTGACAGTGAATTAGAACCTCGAGGACTGCAACTCATATTTGGGGGGCAAGAATGACCTAAGTCCTTTGACTGCACTGAAAAAAAAAGAGGGTGAATCAATCACTTGTGAATTAACCTTGATAGGAGACAAATGAATATCCACATATCTCGGCTTATTTCGAAGAGATTTCAGTTCCGTACTCAAATTAGGGCAATGCATGATGTGAAGGAGGAATAGTTTCAAGGACCGAAGCAGCATCACCACGTTGAATAGCAATACTAATTCTTTATATAAAAAAAGAAAGTAAAACAGTGATCTTTCGTTGCTTGGCCTATTCTCTTTCCGAGTTTATGAACGAATAACAGAGACTCCGGGCCATAAACACCAGAAGTTTCAACCGCTACCTGATGGAACAGGTAGTTTTCACCAAGATTTTGGTACTCTTTTGCTGCGGTTCCAGCAGACTTCGAACTTCCTAGATGGGAAGCCGCGACCGTGTCAACCATATGAATTCATAATCTGATCTGTTATCATGATTTTCTCAAATCAAGGTTATTCATGATTTTTTTCTTTATAGGAATGGCATATGCCCTACTTGGAAACGTTCCACCCATAATTGGTATATACATGGCGTTCTTCCCCGTATTAGTTTATTTTTTCTTCGGGACATCAAAACATAATTCTATGGGTAAGTAAAACATCAATCTTCATGTTGAAGTTGAAAAAAATGAAACAGTATACATATATATGTATACAGATATAAAGATTCTCGAGTGTCTTGATATGAATTCAGAAGGTGATTTATCGAACACAGCACTCAAGAAAGTGGCAAACCATAGACAACGTGTTTCGGGCTTGTGGTCCATCATCAGTATGATGCAGCCAACTGTAAAGATAGGCAACACCTGGTTGTCAAAATAACTACAAATGCACCGAGCCATCAGCAGTCTTGCCTATACTATGTCAAATTCATTGTAAATAAACTCGAATGTACTAGCAATAGCAGTCTCGACTGATCTAGCTATTCTTAAACCATGTTGACAATCTGATCGAATCTTATATTTCTCGAGAAAGACAATAATTCTATTTGCCACTCTTTTTTCATAAGTTTAGATAGAATAGTCATTAATAATATTTGACGAGAGTTATCTATATCTGCATATGGACCCTTTTCATGAATAGAAGTGACTTTGGCTTTGGCGACAAATTTCAGAACTATCATTGTTATATTATCCAGGCCACTCGATTTTTCATTTTTAGTTCGGTCTTTGTTGAAACTACTTCAGGTTTGAACACTTCTGCAAAAATCATTGAGTTTTCATTAAATTTCGAGACCGTATGTGGTAGTGACATGTTTTAACCTACATGTCTCAACAGATCTATCGAGGTTTCTCTGGCACATTGACAAGCAATTTTATTAGCAAATTATATTCCATCATTGATCCGGATACCATTTTCTTCAAGATTAATGTTCCTTTCATTGTCAATTTCAGTTTTTTCTCTGGAAATACTAACAATATCCCATGTAGCTCTTTGTTTGTTTTAGCTATTTCTATTTCATTTGCGTAACATCCTGTTTTTAACTTCTTTAATTTATTTGTAAAATCTCCTTTTTCTCTTCTTTTCTCACTTCTCCATCTATCATTCAGTTGTGCAATTCTGACTGATTTCATTCTCAACTTCTACGTTTCCCAACTGGTCTTAGTTTTTGTTTTTTATTTACCCTACAAATAGCACATGACACATTTATTTGTAGTAAGTCTACTCATACCAGGTAATCAATATCAATTAGTCGTGTCCTGAGATATGAAATGAGATATGAAGTTTCAAGACTGAACCACCTGTTATAGAATATTTCACAACAATTCACTATTGTTTATTATGCTCAAATCTTGAATCATATGGAATAGGAAGATGGAGAAATTATGATGATTCATTATTATTATCATGTCTGTTTTCCCTTTTTGCCTACAATAGTTCCTTTGTTGAAGGATTCTGTCGCTTATATAGAATCTTCTTTGGATAGACATAAAATGTTGAAGCGATGCGTTAATTTTGTTGTCCAGTATGTATACAACTGAACTAGACAGAGTGGCTTTGAAAAAAACATACGTCATGTCTCATCCATTGTGATTAAAAATGTCCTTCATTAACGAAATTTCATTTACATAAAATATTCTTTCAATTACTTTCTCACATATTGTTTCACTCGGTACCTTTCTCCTTTTCACCTGTTGATTATTTTAATAACATCATTTGATTTTATTCGTACCAACTGTTCTTAATTGTAGTTTCGACGAAATGCTTACATGATGAATTTTTATAAAATATTAACAGAGTTTCACATGAATACACATATCCACTTGGTTCTTCAGTTCCGGACACTTAACAGTGATTAAAATCAGAAGCGTACCATGCGTCGAAATTGGGTTCAGGAAGGTGTTTGGCCCTAATGAAATGAACTCTGAAGTGACTTTGAGAGAGAGTTCTGTTTGGGGGATGAGAAAATTTGGCTTCCTACTTCTACATCACTATAAGGGAAGTGGAAAACTTTCGTTGAGAAGAAGAAAGATTCCCATTTCCTTTATAGTAGAGAAATTGAATGTCCAGAAAAATTGTTCAAAAAGCTAATCCCACCTATAAATATACCCTTTTCATATAAACTCACTTTCAGCTTGTTCAAAAAACACGCTTTTATTGGCTTCACCTGTATGTATGCATGTATGTAGTATGTGTGTTTGTTTGTACTCAAGCTTGAGATCTGTATTTGACAGAATTATCGACATTATTGCTTGTTCTATTCGCGGGTAGATGGCTCTGTACGTAACCTTTTGATATATCGATATTATTGTTTGATCTATTCGCGGGCAGATGACACTGTACGTAATCTCCTTGATATATCTACACTTGTGCACTTGTGCTAAGTGAGTTGAACATCGCACAACTAGCTCTGTAATTTATATAATTAATTGTATGTTACTACAGCTGTGAAACAATAAAGACGATTATTACTGTTATTATTATTATTATTATTATTTTTCTCCGTAGTGTGCGCTGGTCAGGCCCTATCCCCCGAAGCCCCGATACATTCGAGAGGGCGTGCCAGCATTATCAACCAATGACCACTCCCCACACCGTGGGGTAAGTGATCATTGGGTCCGAGAATCATGTGCCCTGAGCAAGCGCAGTGAACCAAGAATGACAGCCTTCTGCATCTGTGCGGCTAAGATTTCTGCTTTAGTGCGGCAAACCGGTATGATTTTGAGATTCGAGAGTAGAGAGGACATCATTCCACCAAGGACTCAAATAATCAGAACAACCATCTTGACAGAGTGATCTGGATAGAGTCTGCGGAGTTCGAACAGAAAATCTCGATATTTTATCCGTTTTTCCTCCTTTTTTCTGACGATATTCGTTTCGCCAGGAGCTGAAAACTCCACGACAAATATCGTTTTGGTCTGGTGGTCGAGAAGGACTACATCAGGCTTATTAGCTTGTATGAGCCTGAGGGTAGAGAACGAATAGTTCCAATAAATTTGGCACTTCTCGTCAATACCGTAAGAGTACCGTAGATGGTAATATAGCACTCTTAGGGCCGCGTTATGTCGATGGATATAGGCCGAGACCGCATATGCTGGACATGCTGATAGGAAGTGCATTAGGGTCTCGGGCGCCCTAATTATTACATTATTGCTAGATCTATTCGCGGGCAGATGACACTGTATGTAACTTCCTTGATATAATTCGAACTCACTTCACATGTATTTCTTCATTTGAAAAAATTATTTTTTTTTATTAACACGCTCGCCAGCTGCCTTATTTGTAAGCCTCCTTTGCGCGCCTGCTGCGTATGTATGAGAAAATGAATATTCTGGAATGAAATCTCAAAATATTCATGTCTCCCAAGGTCGATAGATAGATAGATAGATAGATGGATGGATATATAGTTTTTTTTTGTGGAATTGAAGAAAACAACTAACCTTCAATTCCAACAACGTTGAATGTGAATATAATATCATTTTTTAGACCAACCGTTTCTGATGAAACTTTTTATTTCAGTTATCAAGTTATCATAAGTGAAAGTTCATTGGTGAAATGAAAACAATACTTTATATCAACTGTATAATCTCTGAAATGTCATCACTTGTTAAAAGTGAGAGTCACTTTACTTAATCATCGCCACTTTGATTGCTCCGAAATGATAAAACATATTCAAAGATGTTTTTGAACAATGCAGACTATTCTCGAAAATTCTTGCCCATTTATATTCCATTGGAGGACTTTCAGTTAAAAATTAGAACATTTTTCAGTGATAAATAGTTCCGTAACATATAAAAGGTCTTCCAACAGGGATTTCTGAACTATGACAATTAGCAACATCTATCTTGTTGAAGCCACTTCTGACAAATCTATTCAGTCTGTTTTACCAAATTCACAATCGTCCTACCGAAAGAAATATTCACAATATGGTGGATGAATTTGAAGGCACTAATTACCAACTTCTTTTGGCCTGAATTGGATGATTTGGATACTAACAACATGTGGTTCAAACAGCTCATGACACATTGGATATTCTGCACAGGTGATCTCACGTGGATGTGGTGTGAACTGGCCACTGAGGTTGTATGATTTGACCCCGTTATACTTTTACTTATGGGAAATTATAAAGTCGCAGGTGTATGCGAATGAGTCACAAACCACAGCGGTCTTTAAAGCCAACATAACTTGGTCGAATTCAGCCTGACTTATGAGCCAGAATTATGGAAAAACGAGCATTTCGGATGCACTCCACCCAGCGAAGCTGTGGTACACATTTGAATGATGTTGTATTCTACACATAATGGCGTCAATTGGTCTTTCAAACGAATAGAAAATTTCGATGACATCTCACAAAACTTTGTTTCATTCAAATTTGACGATAAGAAGGGCCTAATGAAAGACCACATGTCTCCCTTGATTATTCCACAATGATCTGAAATAGTTCAGGTTATTTTCGAATATCCCACTATATTCCAGAATGTTATGAAAACTGAACAGTTTTCGATTACTCTCAATTGTTCTGGACAGTGAAAACGGAAACGTTTTGTCTTATCGTATTTTAACTTTCCATTGATTGATGCAACAATTTTTTTATTTCAGTATTTTAAGATTAAAACTTGTTCACAAAAAGGATTTGAAGCTTTAATAACTTCTCATTATTAAATGAGAGCACTTTCGATAGCAGGCTGTGCTATCATCTTCATGGTTCTACTTGAACTGAACATGTTATCTCCTTGTTTGTTCTTTTATACGGGTAGAACGCCCTAATGCAGGTATTTGTTCTCTCCTCTCATCCATATGTCTCTTTAAATTTGCCTGTACTTGGGTTACGTCAGGTAATATCCTTTGTGTTGGTATTTCTCTAAGTTCCTTGTTTCTAGGAATGTGTATTGTATTGTGTAGGATATATATGTTAGGTTTTGTTGTGTATTGATTTGTATTTGTTCCTTGATAAGTGAATTATGACTTTTGAATTTATGGATACTTACATTTTCCCAGATGTCCATACGGTTTCCTTTATTGACTTGTTTGATGAGTTTGATATTTTCTGGTGGGGAAAGTTATTTTTGTTTCATATGGTGTGTGTTGCGAGGTTTGATTTATATGTTATTGGGTTTATGTATGCTTTTTTGTGCTCGTCGTACCTTCGGATCAGTTTTCTCTTGGTTTGGCCGATATATAATTTATTGCAGTCCAAGCATTGTATGCTGTACGCTCCGTTTATGTTTTTGTCTCCTTCTTTTACATAGCTGTTTATTTTTTGTGTCATTTTCGTGTTCGGTGATATTGATGGGTTTGAAGATGTTTGTTAATTTTTCGGTTTGGTGACCCATGTATGTGAATACAGTTCATCGTTATGTTGTTTTATCTGTTGGAGTAGTTTGATCCTTGTTCTGTAATTTTTGTTTGATTCTATTTTATGTATCATCTTCTGGCTGTATCCGTGCTCGTTGGCTATTTGGTATAGAATTTTCCTTTCTTTGTTCCGGGCTTCATTGCAACAAAGATCTTCAAACCCATGAACATCAACAGAAAGTCATTAGAAATAAGGTCATTATAAGACCATGAAAAATGAGAAATGATACTTTCTATGTTTTTCAGCACTTTCATTCGTTAATATCGTTCATGCAATTTCGTCCTATATGGACATTTTTAAACTAATACAATGAAAATGTCCATATAGAACGAAACTGCAGTAATGATAGAAAAAAACGTGGTAAAGATATAGAACGTTTCATTTCTCATTTCTCATGATGATCTCTCACCACGTAGACGGCTACATCAAACAATTTATGTCATTAGAAGAACTTGTTTTGTTGCGAAAATAATTTTCATGTGAATACATTACATTTACTGAAAGTTATATTGAATATACAGTGCATTTATTCAATGCCCCCGCCCTTTTATGTTTTGAACGGGTCAACTCATAAAATTGAAATTTGAAATAATGAAATTAATGAATAAGATGGCGACTGGGCGCCATCGGGAAAAAAAAATCAAATAGAAAGGGGGGTCTTGTGACACATCATTTTGAAGCTCCTGACGAATACTTCACAACCCTAGAATATCTTCTTCTACTACAAAATGGTGGAACATTTAATAATTTCCTAGGGTTGTGAAGCATTTGTCAGGAGCTTCAAAAAAAATGTGTGACAAGACCTCTCTTTCCATTAAATTTTTTCCCTAGATGTCGCCCAATCACCATCTTCGAAGTTTCATCTGTCAATTTCAGTTCAAAATAAAGTATCCATGCATTAAACTTCATTATCCCTAATTTCAATTTTTTTAGTTGACCCGTTCAAAAAATAAAAGTGGGAGACATCAAAGAAATGCACTGTATATATTTATACCTATTGAAGAACATGGTAGTGAAAGCACATTGCTGTTTGGATCGGATCTGTCCTGCACTGATGAGAAGTAATACCTCGATACCGATCTGCATAACTAACCTATGTGGGGTATATTGCATAGGTATATTCATCATTTTATGTAATTTTATTTTGGATAATCGACTGGAAATCAGAAGCACTGAGTTGTTTTGCCGAGATCACAGAAGTATGGAATTTAATGTATAATGTCAACCCTCCATGCAGCAACAGTTATTGTTATTACTATATTCAAATTGAAAAATAGACACAAATATATTTTTATTACAGGGACATTTTCTATAGCATGCTTGATGACAGGAAAAGCGGTTTTGGAATATGCTGATCACTCTTTCCTCGGAGATACTGTTTCGATATCGAATACTACAGTAACTGGCTTCACCCCCGTTCAGGTGGCATGTGCGGTTACTTTCGTCTCTGCTGTTGTTCAGGTAAGTCACCAACATGAAACCTCCATTCAAATCTTTTATGAACTCGTGACTTTATGCAGTAGATATTTTAATGATTCTTCTCACTAAAAAAATCTGTCAGCTAATTTACATCTCATTTTCTAAGTCATCGTCATCCTTGTGTTGGTCTTCTGAAATCTATCCTGTAGATGTCCTCTCGACTACGAGACAGTATTTTTTATCCAGGTGCCAGTCAAAAAGACATATTCTTCCGAAATCTATCCTGTAAATGTCCTCTCGACTACGAGACAGTATTTTTTATTCAGATGCCAGTCAAAAAGACATATTCTTCTGAAATCTATCCTGTAGATGTCCTCTCGACTACGAGACAGTATTTTTTATCCAGATGCCAGTCAAAGAGACATATTCTTCTGAAATCTATCCTGTAGATGTCCTCTCGACTACGAGACAGTATTTTTTATCCAGATGCCAGTCAAAAAGACATATTCCATTCAGTCTTCTGGGACCGATTGTCTACAACTCTTTACCGGATAACAAACACTGTAAATCATTTCCAAAAATGAAAAAAAATTTCACACACTTCATCTCTGATCTACCACGAAACAAAATTAATGAAATTTTTGATCGTGTTCCCTGAAGCACTTCTTAAAAATAATTGAATTCATTTTACTGTTCATTACTTTTATCCTTGACACCTGACGTGCCCGTGACATAAATCAACGCAAAATGCAAATATTTCAGACTTTCTTTTAAACTTTTGTCTACGTTTGGGACTACTGCATTGTTTTATTTTATCTACTTGGTTACGCACTCACTGAAGAAAATATTCAGTCAGTGAAATCTTTCTGATAATCTCTCAACTATTTTCTGAAAAATTCAGATAATGCTTTTTTTTCAGCTGCTCATGTATGTTTTGCACTTGGGAGCTGCAAGTGCTCTCTTATCAGAAATGCTCGTAAATGCTTTCACTGCTGGTGCAGCTGTACAAGTTATCTCCACCCAAGTTAAAGATCTGCTTGGCCTCAGCCTACCCAAGTTCAAAGGATATTTCACAGTTATAAATGTAAGTTTGAGTGATGATTTGAATTTATTTTTGGCAACAGTTTTGCAGAATAAGTTTCGTGTTCTGTGTAACCCTTGTTACTGAAACTTGTTCAACATTAGAAATACCAAGGTGATCCCATCAATCCCAAATCATCCATTGTAATTTAAAAAAAATACCGTTGCCACATATTACTTCCGCAACTGTATTGATAGTGAGCTTATCACTTTCTAAAACCTGTACAAATATTTAAACAGGGTGTTTATTAGACATGCGGCAAAAACGTAAGGGACTATTCTAGGGATATTTTGTCCTTTGGTTATTTCTGATAAGGCGCTATGTTTCGAAGATACGGAGCGAAAAATAATTTCTATAATAAAAATTCATTACCAAAAATCATAAGTAATGTTTAATAATCTACAAGAACTTTTGGAAATGACTACTCCCCCGCTCGAATGCAAGAATCCAATCTTCACTTTACTCCTGAACTATTTCAAAAACACCAGGATCTTTTCTGATTGCGTTACATCCAGCGATTATCTGATTTCTCAAATATTCCATATCTTCCACTGGGATATTATAAACTAATGACTTCAGTTGGCCCCATAGAGCCACCTGACCAATCCAGCGATCTCCGTATGTTACTGTTGAAAACTTTTGAGCCAATATGCGCTGGTGCACCATTGTGCATGAACAACATTACATTTCTTGTAACTGAAACTGAGGTAGCGCTTGTTCCAAAAAGTTGCGGTATTCCTTGCCGGTAAGTCTTGCTGGCAGAAATACCAGTAGAATTGGAAAGAAATCCCGGCCCAATTGAGAATTCACCTATAATTCCCACACAAACATTTAACAAGAACATACGTTGAAAGCGATATTCAAGCACCTCATGTGCATTTTTTTCAGCCCACACATTACATGGTCATAGAAATTTTTTATGGCATTTCTTGAGAAACTGGCTTCATCGTCAGTAGTTGAGGGACTTGAACCAATGTACGGAAAAGCCATTGACATAATGCATGACGTGGAAAGAAATCTGCAGAAAGAAGTGCCTGAACTAGTAGTATGTGGTATGGGTACAACAAATACTTTCTTAGGATGTTTCAAATCGTCCCGTTACTCATATTTAGAGTATCTGCAATTTTTAAAGTGGAGGTACCTGGATCTTCTTCTATGATGGCCAGCACATTCTCTTCTACTTCTACCGTTCTTACTGTCATTAGCCTTCGCTTCAATTCTTTTGTTTCACGAAGTCGTTGAAGTATACTTTGGAAGGTTTTTCTCTCAGGCACATTACGATTAGGAAATCGTTCACTGTACAACCGCCTAACTTCCAATGAATTGCCATCAGCAAGTCCAATGAAATGCATATCAGCCATCTCTGCGTTACTATAGCCATTCATGATAGAGAACTTCACTAACAAGACTTAACTAACAAGATTGAACACAGAAAATGCACGTCAAATAGACAAAGTCAATCAGTTTCAATCTATTCGACACATATAAATGATCACTTACGAGACATACTATTCAAGTTGAATGTCTGCAGCCGTTTGTAGTAATCGGAATGTTGTTGATAGGTACCAACAAAATTGTTACATTTTTAATACTTGGTAGGTCCAGTGTAGTACGCTATACTTTCATTCCGGCTACGTTAATAATTTTAAAATTACCAAAGTTATTATTGTCGAAATTCTTTTTTGCCCCATATCTTCAAAGCGCCTTATCAAAAATCATCAGAGGACAAAATATCCTTAAAATAGTCCAAGGAATAGTCCCTGAATTTTTTGCCGCATGTTCAATCAGCACTCTGTATTACCCTTCAAACATCATATAACTATATAATGAGTTTGAAATAGTGAAATAACCTATTTCCTTTTGCTCAATTTTAACCACTTCATAACGAACGAAATTCCTTTTGTACATACGGACTCATGAATCCAAGCTTGTTGTTTTATGTATCAACATCTATCTTCTTTTTAGTAACGCCTTCTGTCACCCACTGAGTCTGGGAAGTAAATTAATGGAGTATAGACATGAAATTCGTCTCCTTACAAAATTTTACCTTATACTCTGATAGACATTTTATACGTACTAAATACAATTATGGTGAATTCCTCAAATAGTTTCATATGTATCAGTTTTTTCATATTGAAAGTCATAAGTTTGATTATGAGTCTTAGATGAATTTTTTGAAAAAAATATATTTCATTGCGACCGGAATTGGCAAAAGCAATTCCAAATTCATTTCCAGTTTACGACCAAAGGTTATAGATCAATTTACAAGTTGATGACTCAAATGATTTTGGGTTGTTTCACAAGTTGTGTCCATTTCAATGTCATGAATTTTAGAAGTTCCATATCTCAATGAATATTTTTCTACCGTGACGCGGTATATTGATGCTGTTTTCAAAGACTTTTTTTTCAGACAATATCCGCCATAATAAGTAATTTGGAAAACGTGAACTACGCAGCTTTATTGTCTTCTGCAGTTACCATTACGATATTATCATTCAATAATGAAGTACTTAAGGTAAGATAAATATTTTGTTTTTACCACGAAGTTATTGAAAATTGTAACACACAAAAAATAGTTTCAGATAAGAAACTGATTTTATATTGACGTCATACTATCTTCGAATATTCTACTTTTGATTCGACAGAACAAATAATTACTGATATATTTCCAAATAGGAATGCACTGATATAAATATATTTATTTTCAGCCAATAGTTGCCAAGAGAACAACGATTCCAATACCTATTGAGCTGATAGCTGTGGTCAGCGGAACATTGATTTGTCAGTATTCCAATTTACATGAAACTTACAATATCAAAATAGTTGGTGATATACCTACTGGGTGAGTTAAGCTGTAAGTTTTAATTTTCGAAAATAGTTTTCACTCTTCTGGTCACAATACGATATGCGCAAAGTGCTGTTTGAAACGAGTTATATAAGCTTGTTTAATTTGACCTATATACTTCGTGTCTGGCCAATGAACTCCACATCAACTGTCTAATATCGCCTTGCAGAATAACTATATAATGAGCGAACATCAATAAATGTTAATTGACTAAATTAACATTGTTCGAAGATTTTGATGTCGGAAAATAGTACTGGACTTATGGGTGCTTTCGGAAGTCTCAAAATAGCAAAGTGTGGTATGGGAACTATGAACAGCGATCAAGGTTTTATTCAAAATGGCCTATTGTTTTGTAATGAGAATTGTTTTGAAATTTTGGGAGAGATTTTTCGTCAATTCTCACTGAAGAAATGATTGATGTCAGACTGAACGTGAAATTGAAAGTTCACTCTCTCAGATGTAAATAACCTGAGCAAGAGAAAGGTGTTACTATAATTCATGTTGGGATGAAGTCAACTTGATTGGTAAAATATGCTTTTTGAAAAATGTTGCATTTTTGATGTATTCAACTGACCCAGGAACTGAAGTTAAACGACCATACACAACGAAGTGTGTTCAGTGTTGCCACAAGCTATTTTTTCATCGAGGTAGATTTCTGGAAGGGAGCGGGGTGGAACTAGGGTGGATCCACATTCACATGATGACGCTAATCAGTGACGCATTTACGTATACCTATGATTGTCGTTTTTTGTTCTATGATAAATTTGACGATCGTAATCAAAAACATAAGTCACATGTCATCGCATCCAAATTTTGGATCAATATGTTTTCAAAACCATTCCTCGAAAATATTAGCTTCCATGTTCTTATGAAAGTCAAGATTGCAGTCCCCAAGTTTTTTTTTTCCATATAACTTCAAAGACTTCGGATCCCATCCTTTACTTCCTCCGCAATGCTCAATAATAAGTCGCAATCCTTTGTGTGCAGGCTTATTAGGCGTACACATTCTCGAACTATCAGTCCACCCTTTCGTAACTGCGTCGTGAGTGTCATACCAAGTTCCATTCGAATAGAAAATTTGCCATTGTTCTTGTCTATATTTAGTTATTTGTTGTAAGTATTTGTTACGCATGTCCACTATTCTTCTGCTTTCCATAACTACTTGACGTTTGTTTATTATTTTAAATCTGAATCCTAGTTTCTTTATCCAATTCTAAAGAGTTTTGTCACAGCAGCTCACGTGATGGCCGGAAGTATTCAATTTATTCCTTATGATTTCAGTTGTAGGAATCTCATTGCTATTGTAACAGTCGTATATTGTTTTTTACAATTATTTTATTAGATGAACATCTAAAAGTTTTGGTAATCCTCTATGATATCGCATCTTGCCTTCATAAGGTTTGTTTTTGACTATTTTACGTACTGTTGAGAAAGGAATTTTGGAAAATCTGATGTTGTTTGTGATAGTTTGTTTCCCTCGAAACCAAACTTGAGATGTAGATTCTCATATACATTGAAACATACTCTCTGTGTTTCAATATTCAAATGCATCCGAATTTTATTCACTGGTATCTCTTTTTCGCATTGTTTACCAGCGCTATTGGAATCACTACAGAGGAAGAAGTCTGCGTTGTTATCACACTCGTTATTACTATTAGTACTTGTCCAAGGACTCCACATTTCAAACAGATCACAAAAATTTTAAGTAATTATAACTGCACTAATATCGAATTTCAACACTCAAATCGCGATCAGTTCCTGAACTGAACACGACGGCGATAACCAAAGGCCGCATTCACCGATCTATTCGTAGGCGTAACATGACTTCAAATTTAATTTTATGACTCTTCAGCAAATAACAAATCTTGGCCAGTAAAAATTATCCAATACGAACCGCCAAGTCTACAGTCCATATGGACTTGTTTGCTGCCAGTTCATTCCTATGTGTTGGTTTTTTTGGACTTTGAGAGTGTCGAAAACTTTAAGAGTGCACATTATTGGTTACTTCGATTGCACATACTATAAACATGTCCACATTTACGATCTCAACTTCAAATAAAAATGTCGAATGTCATGTCACAATCATCAAATAACATTTCACACGCACAGAGCATGATCACGGCGCTCGGTATCATTGGAAGAGCAGAAGAGCATTGTAGTTGTAGTGTAACTCAGTACTCAGTCACAGAATATCGGAACTATCAGTGTAAGAGTCTTGCAGTAAGACACAACCCAAGGAACCACCACCAGCGGCGCCAGATCAGTTTTCCTCCTAGATCATCGTCCATCCTGTCCTTTCCAGAAAGGTGGAGAGGTCACTAGGAGAAATCTCCTTTATATCGGCAGGTGAAGGCCAACATTCGCAGAACACACTCTCTTTGGTTACCTTGAGGTGTTTCACGGCGGCCTCCGCGAAGGTTTTGGAAAGTGCAGCGACATTACTATCGTTGCGCGGCTTCTTCAACTTTCTTGGGGTACCGGTACCCTCCGTGGAGGTGCACAAGTGAGGGCACTTTCCTGCAGGGGCAGCCGGGTTCCTTACCTTTATTCAAGGCGAGGCTCTTGTCGCCCGCTTCAGGAAGTGACCTTGCTGATTGCGATAGACTGGGGTAGGAGCAGTTCTTGTGGGGTTTTCTTAAACAGCAGGTGTATGCGGTCCTCAGAGCTGATATAACTCATTTCATCGATTAATTTCAGCAATGGTCATGGAAAATCGGACGTTTCGATGCATTCCAGCCAGAGAAGCCGTGACGGACCTTCGAACAAAGTTATATTTCATACATGATGGCATCAATAGGTCTTTCAAACGAATAGAGAATTCAGATTATATCTCATACACACACTATGTTTCATTCAAATTCAAAGATAGGAAGCGCTTAGTGAAAGACCCGTTAGTATGTTCTGAAATTTAATTTAGAATTAAGTCACTTTTCCAGATAATTCATCTGACCTAGTTATTCGTCTAACCGTATCGTATTCACTAACAAGTTTTGTGATTCAGCTTAGCATCACTGATAAAACCTGTGCAGGTCTGGAATTGCTAATGCTTTGTTCTTGTGCTCTAGTTTCATCTGATTGCTCTCCGGCATTAAAAGTTAAAGAAAGACAGGAAAAGATGTCTCATTCAGTGATTGATGTTGAATCTTTGTTTTGCATCATAACGAAACCCTGTAAAGACCCTCTTTCACATCGAATACCCAAGGTTTGTGAGAGATGTGTATTTGTTAGTCATAATTCATTATTGGTAAATTTGCTGTTCTTGAAGCGCGACAGCCGGTTGACGGAAAAACAATCGTTTTTTGAACTTCAGTTCCATATTCGGTTTCCGAACCGTTTGTACACCAGGTGTACATGGATATGGATCAACCATATACTCGGGATGATTGCATCATGCCCTGTACGCATTTTGAGACTTCAATCAAGATGATAAGGTGAGAAATATATACTTTGGTATCATTTTTCCCAGTTATCTTGACGACATATATACCACTGTTTCAGATTCAGGCCCAATAAAAACATGGTGATTGATGACTTTGAACAGAGCGTACAAGACGATGAATTGTCGTAAAGTTACTGATAAATTTAATTTTTTTTTTCAGATTACCACAGCCGGAGCTTCCCCCATTCTCTCTACTTTCTTCTGTGTTAATTGACGGTTTTTCAGTTGCCATCGTTTCCTACGTCACTTCTTTGTCTCTGGCCCTCATGTTGGCTCAAAGAGGAGACTATGAAGTGGATGCAAATCAAGAGCTTCTAGCAATGGTAAGGAAAATAACATAGTTAGGAAAACATCTACTTTCATTTCGATTGATAACTCTTTCAAATAGTTGTCATCTTCATGACTTTTTCTTCAACCCTAAAATTGTTTACTGTAGAATCAGGCATGAGAGTTTTCCGGCCAAACTTCGATGCTATGGGTCTTTTTTGTGTATGGCTCTTCAGCTTCCTGAAATGACGTTTTTTGCAAGTGAATCCAGTATATAGCTTTGCTGACAGCACACTTGTCTCGTCATGCTATTCGTTCACCAGGACGTCGGCTGCTGATGCACATGTTCTCCGGCAGCAGGTTGCATATTTTAATGGGGATCTAGAAGTGATTTCCAATTGGGGTGAAAGTAACCAGGTTCAATTCAATGCCACAAAAACCAAGGCATCGGTTTTCTCCAAGAAGATGAATTTCTCCGAACCGGATATGATAATGTCAGGACAGACAATTCCGCTTTCTGCTTCGATACGTTTGTTGGGGATTGAAATTAACACCAATGTAACTTGGCACAATCATGTGGCTGGAATTAAAAAGGCTCCTACTCAAAAGCTCTGAGCACTGTTCTGAACCAGAAAAATGTACAAACGTCAGCAACTTTTGATTCTTTATGCAGCTCAGATCAGACTCTCTTTAGAGTATTGGTCACATGTATGGAGCTCCACCCCTAAGCATACTTTGAAGCTGCTGGATACCTTCCAGTTTCACCTGATTGGATACACAGACATCACTTGCAACCTTGACAGTCTGGAGCGTCGGAGCAAGGTTGGAGATTTTTCTTTCTTCTATGAAAACTTTCACAGGATGTGTTCAAGTGACTTGATACATTTGATTCCACCAAGAGCAGTTAATATCAGAAATACGCCACTGACTGTAGCTGCTCATCGTTTTGCGGTTTCAGGTTCCAGAACTTCTTTATTTGGAGAACTGCGTTTATGTGGAATAAGCTTCCTGAGAACGGTTTCCCAAATGGATTTAATCTCTAGCGATTCAAATCCAACGTGAATCGCTTGTAGAAATCCCATCAAGTCAACCCATTTTAAATCACCGGGGCGAAAACAATCGATGAAATCAATATCACACTGATAATGTTGGTTGGTTTGTCATCATTTCTAATTTCGGTATGGTCCCGCCTACTAGTACGGGTTCGTTAGAAGACGGTGAGAGAGAGAGAGAAAGATAATCGTCAAATTCCTTCCTAGATTTGACAATCTCTTCTGTTCGTTTGATCAGTAGAGGTTTTTATGAAGTTTCAAACCGTTGACAACTCATTGTTTAAAATTTTTCATTTGTCACACTTTGAAGTAATTAATAAAATGTCCATGAGAAAATTAGATAAAATATCAGGATTCTTCTCATTTTTTATAATTGCAAGTGATGTATGTGTGTGAGTGTGACGGATTTAAAAAAATTAATGAATCGAAGAGATTGTTTGTATTGAAGTGTATAATTTTTAAAATCTTCGCAAAGCGCTTTCGACTTTCATCATCATCAGTGCTCACTTGTCAGGCAACAGGAAGTATCAAAATAAATACATGGCACATTTGTAATATTTGACTTATATGAAACAAAATAGGCTTATAGCCAAGAAAATACATTTTTGGATTGAGACCATGTGGTTCAGTCAAAGTATTATATGAATCGAACCTTCCAAAGAGTTTCTTGCTTTCGTTAGAGGTTGAGTCTTGTTTGAAAATCATCAGTGTTATTATTAGATTGACTGGTGCCTCAGCTATACTTGTTCCCTTATAACAGTCAGTTAGTTTGGCGCATGTTTGACAATACAGTCGATCATCGCCTGTTAAAAATTCCATTTTCAGATGATTTAACAATATTTTGTTTTATATGAGTCAAATATTACAAATGTGCCATGTACTCATTTTGATACTTCCTGTTGCCTGACAAGTGAGCACTGATGATGACGAAAGTCGAAAGCGCTTTGCAAACATTTTTAAAATTATACACTTTAATACAAACAACCTCTTCGATTCATTAATTCAATTGAGTGTATTCAGCTTTTCAAATCTATTTGAAAAAGTTATTTCTATTCTTGCTCACTTTTCAGATTACCGATTTGATTTTCAGTCGAGTGAGAATTGAATGAGTGAGTTTTTGTTGAGAGCTATAATGCTTTTTTGAATATAAGTTATTTTCATACAGGTGGTATGATTTTCAGAACAGTTTCTATGATCTATGTATTGAATTCATCCGCTCGTCACATCATAATGTTGTCAGCTCATTCTTGTTACTCTTGAAATGCATTTGAAATAGTATTTGTTTTTTATTGTATGTTTTTCAATATTCAAATATTGCGAAAGCTTATAGGAAAAACTGTCATTCGCATAATTGAATCATGATGGACAAACAAACCTTCACGATAAATAAAAAGTATTTATACATTTTGACTAATGAAAAATTTGTGGTCGACCTATATTAGTCTTCATACCTCAAGAAATATAGTTAAAAATATCAGTCTGAAGTCATTTTACGAGCACGATATATCTACATATCAGTTTTCATTCATCAAATTTTGTTTCAGGCAGCAGGAAATGTGTTTGGTTCTTTATTCTCTTGCATGCCAATATGCGCTTCTTTATCGAGATCCATGATACAGCAAGTGGTAGGCGGAAAAACACAAATTGTATCGATTGTGTCATGCTTCATTCTTGTTTTCGTCCTCCTGTGGATTGGACCGTTTTTTGAACTCCTTCCGAGGGTAAGTAGTAAATAAAAATACTCTGTCCAGTGAGAATGGTAAATGAAAATTGCCAATTAATTCGATATTTTTTAAGTAATATTACCTTTCAAAGATGGACAATATTTATTGTGTGAACTTCAATAGAAAATAATACACTGAACTTTCACTGTAACACCTTCATATTTTAATAATATTTCAAACAGCAACGGACTAACACATTATATTCATCGAACTGTTCTCTACCAAGGAACAAACATCAGTGAATGAATAATCATATCTATTTTCCTATCGCTACCACTAATATCTTACATAACTCATGAAAACTCAAACTATCAAGAAAAACAATGTGTCATCAAGTTCCTATCCACAGCATCATTTGCCTTCATCGTTGCCATCGACAATGATGCCAGTTCACAATAGTTTCCATTTTGGAAAACCATTGTCATATATATTTTAAGATCTAGTTTTTGAGGTGAATATTTTTTGGGCAAGAAATATTTTCGTCTTTAACTTCTTCATATTTATACAAAAATTATGGAAAAATTTCAACGGAAGAAAGAAAGCAACTGAGGTCAGAATGAACTATTCATTACAAAGCTATGTATTTCATGCATAGAAGTTACTTTCAGATAAAAACTGGGAGCAAAACCAATTCTGAAACACCTACTTTCACATAAAAATGAATGAAACGAAAGAAAAAGAACTTTGGAAACAACTACTTCCATATGAAAATTTTATATACGAAAATCACTTTTTTTCTATTTAGTTTGTACTTGGAACATTCGTTAAGAAATTGATTCATATATCATCCATAAAAACGCTATACAATTTACTTTAATATGATAGTCTTTTGTAATGCTTGAAAATCAATACATTTAGTGATTCTGAAAACTAAATGACCAAATAGTTTTCAATACTTAACCTCTATTGAATTTTTTTTCAAAGTGAAAGTCGGTGATTAGTTTATCAAATACTCAATTATTGATTTTGTTAAATTCCTTCTCTGAAGTTTGAGTTTTCAGTTAGTTTGAACTCAGCTCAAATTACTAGACATTATGTAGGTAGAAGGTGTTATGTATTCAAGGTATTATATTACATAAAGCGCTTATTACCTAGAATTCGAAAAGTGTATTCAGAGAAAATTTTAAAATTGTTACTTGATGAAAAAATTGATTTTATTCTCTCATAGTTTATTTTGTTCCTAACAAACCTACACGTCCAAGTTAACATTCTAAATTTCAGTTCCCACCTCATTAAATCAAATTGAAGTATACTGAATTCCTTGCCGTACTCTTTACCATCTGACCTAAAAAACCACTTACCATAAAAACTAATCAGCTTCGTTAAGAAGCTGGGTTTATTTGGTCGACTGTGAATATGTGTGAGTCACAATAAACACTTGCGGGTTGCGGTGAAGGGTTGAATACACCCACTCACTTCTGATCTAACCTAACCCAAGTATACTGATTTCCTTCCTTTCTTTTTCAGAGTGTCCTTGCCAGTATCATCGTAGTTTCTCTAAAAGGAATGTTGATGCAGATAGGGGACATTGCAAAATTCTGGAGACAAAGCAAATTGGACGCTCTTCTATGGATTGTTACTTTCCTGACGGTTGTGTTCGTCGGTATGGACATTGGACTACTTGTTGGTGTACTCATGTCGCTAGTAACAATCTTCATCCTCGGTTTCAAGCCACATTCCTGTCTTATGGGATTAGTACCACACACGGATATATATTTGGATGTTAATAAATACAAAGGGGTGAGCTTATATGTATTATTGTAATCTAGCCGTATGACACACTTCAATAAAATAATTTTGATAATTATAAGAAACCCCAAGTGCATTTATGCATCGACATAAGTGATATGGAATGCAAATGTCAACTATAAATACATTGATGACTGGCTAAGAGTTTTATCCTTCATATATAGCGAGTATTCGATAAGTTTCAGTGGGTCAGTTTCTCCGAAGTCAGTGGAGACTGAAAAACAAAATTTGACAATCATATATGAACGGAGACATCAACTTCTTTACGTATCTGCAGCTCTTTCACTTTTATTGGGCGGCTTTGAAGACATAAACATCTCTGTATAAACTAGAGGTCTCTACGGTTACCCCTTTTTGGATCAATGATGAATATCAATAATTAATGCCAGTCGTCGATGAAGGCTTATTTCGTTGAGCGAGATGTTCATAATGACACCAAACTCCACCCATACGCTTGTCAGAATTTCTGGTATCATAGTGGCGCACCCATTTGTGACTAGCTGTCAAAGTTCTTGCGAGTTTGCTGGTTATCCAAACAATATCCGCTCCACAGAAAGAAGTCAAGAGAGGCAAGCCCGGCTGTCCTTGGTAGCCATTCAATTTGCCTTCTACGCCCAATCCAACGACCAGGAAATTCCTCATCTTCCCTCACGGGAACATAAAAGTTTGGAAAACATAATTTTCAATAGCATCTGCATTCCCAGGTTTGATAGCTTTTCCTAGAAGTCGCAAGTATAAGCGTTTGGTGAAATTTTCGTCTATGAAAAAGGCCAATTACCGTTTCACCCATAATTACGGCCCATACCTTCAATTTCACAGTATTTTGTGCAATCCACCGATGATTGTGATCACTTAAGTATCGGCAGTTATGTCTATCAAGAGAATCATTTATAAGAAGCTTCCTTTATCACTGAAACAGATCCGATAGATGTTATTGGGTTGTGTGGTAATGCATGCTGTCTTTCGTCTGGGTCATTTCCATTTAAGTCTTGTACAAAATGGATTCCAAACGAATAGAATGGGCTCATTTAACAAATTTTTTTTATTTCATAATTTGAAAGTTTATGTTACAAATAGTACATCTGCAAAAAATCTGAATTTTCACTCTTCATCTTCCCCCTACAAGGGAGTGCTAGCGGATATCGGATAAGCGAAATACGAGTGATAAAGTTGTGTGTTGTTTACTGCAGTGTGTCAATTGCGTGAACATGAATAGTGATGAAAAATGACGTTACAAATATTGCATCGTTCCTAAATGCAAGAATTATTCGGTAACTGCAGCAGAAAACATTTTTATTTTACTGTTACGAAAGTTATGGCAGCACGCTATGCGGAGGGCCGACTTTGTATCTGCCAAGGGGACGCATTTTTGTTGCGAAGATTATTTTAAATGTAAGTATGAATGATAATGATTAATAAAAAAAATTATACCTTACTCTGAGCACTACTTTGAATTTTAGGTTGAAACAGACTCAGAAAATTACATGTATATCAAAACTATGAATGTGCGAAAAATGATATTGAAACCAGGCGTAATTCCGCAAATATTTGATTGCCAGATTGATAGACCGACGGCCCATACATCTAAAGCTCCACCGTTTGTTCAAAAAAAGAAAAAACAAATTCTGTTGAATACTTGCAACGAAGATATCGCTGAAAATCAAATCATGTGTGATGGAGCAGGTACACAGGAAAATACCTTGCACCTTTGATGTTGGAATTGAAGTTCATAAACAGGTTTCTCAAAGATTAGAAGCTGAACAGACCGTAAATATTATATACCAACGAAAAAGAAGTCGTTCTAAAAAAAGTATTGGAAAAAATTACTACTAAGTTTCCTCGAGGACAGTGAGAGTTTGAGTACATCAGACATGACTTCTGTCGATACATCGTCAGATTCTACTTCGTCTGGAATATTATAGTTCGAAAAACAATATTGAGCGAAGATCTATTCACTTCATAGAGAAATATCCGAAATTATGTCTTGGAATCCCAAGGGACTCTTTATTTATTATAAAACTTTTGTCTCAAAAATGCCAGTTACCCAGAATTGATATATACATTACTTTGAAGAAAATTAAATTGATTTGACGATAGCAGCGATGCATAATCTCCAACTACAGGCCTGGTTGCCACTGCTGGAAGCTCGTTTGCCTGGTGTGATGTCAAGATGTACCGCGGGCGATCTCACATTTTCAATTGCTCTTGCTCAGTTGTTAATTGACATATAAACCGGAAAACTTTGTGGGATACTTGGGGGATGATTTACTTTTATAATATATAATTTTAAATAAAAAACTAAATTAGCCTGAATGAGCCCATTCATGTTGTTTCAAAATTTCATGCAGTGTTGATTTACCTGTACCTACGGTAGCGACTATCTTGCGCAATGATTGTTTGGGTTGAACTGCATTGGTAACCAGATCTTGAATTTGGTTTTAACGGACTGGCAACCAGATCTTTTACACTGAAAGTTGTAGTTAAGTTGGAAGATGTTTCAATTGAGTGTTAAGCGAAGTGTTACAGTAACAAGGCAGAATTCTTGCGTCGTTTCATAACCATGGATGGAACATGGGCCCATCACTTCAAACTCAAGACAAAAGAGCGATTGAAACAGTGGACTCAAAAGGGAGAACAGGCTCCAAAGATGGCGAAGACCGTTTCATCTGCAGGCATCGGTTTTCTGGAATGCACGTGGGATAATTTTCATTGACTATTTTGATAAAGGTAAAGCTATCAACGGCGAGTGTTATGCAAACTTATTGAAACGTTTGAGTGAGAAAATCAAGCAAGAATGGCCACATTTGGCTAAGAAAAAAGTGTTGTTTCGTCAAGACAATGCACGATCTCACAAATCCATTATCGCAATGACCAAAATTGATAAATTGAAGTTTGAATCGCTACCTCCTGCACCCTTTCCGCCAAATTTAGCCCCTTCTGATCATTTTCTGATCCTAAACTTGAAAAAATGGCTCAGTGGTTGAAGATTTCCCAACGAAGAAGGAGTAATGTCGGCAGTTAATGGCTATTTTGGCCCATGATGGATTATACTAGGGGACTCTAGACAATATGAGTGTTTTACGAAACAGACTTTGAGTCTGATTTCAAAGAATTTCTATTTCGACTCAGCTGCCTCGTGAATCATTAGCAAATGGTTCGTGATATCTGTGGTCATGACAATTATATTTCTTAGGTTTCTATCTTTATGTGCTAGTCATACGTTGATCAAAACTTCGGTTCCACTTTTTTAGCATCTTGTACCGAATCCGCTCTGGGTCGCTTTGCTGGAGGACCTGCATCATTCGGCCTGCAGAACTGCATTTGATAACGACGCATGTTATCTTTACGGCTAAAACTTTTACCGCACCTATCACAGCAAATCATATTTGTAGGGATATTCAGTACGCACGAATTGAACTGTCTCCTGTGAGTGAGTGGCCCCTCTCTCATATATTATTTCAAAAAGTGGGGAGGGAAAGATATTACATAAGCACCCTCAAAGTCACCTCTGCATAGGAGTATGATATTGCAGAAGGTCACTCAAAGTCAAACTGAAAACGCTCTCCAGAAGCCTCTCGATCTATGCAACTGAAGGTCGTTCTAGTTCGAATCCTTGAATCTTCGGAATATCCGCGTGAATCAATAAAGGTCATTCAAGGTCAAACCCAAAACACCGTGCGAAGTATGTAGAGGAACTCAGGAACTCAGTAAAGATTGAGATTCACTCGTGTTAACTTTCAGATTGTCAGTTTGATTGATTCGACTTTCAAGAACAATATTGTCTGTCACTTAATGAATGATTAATATAACTACGTGTCGTCCGCATAATGATAGATATTAAGGATAGCATCATTACCCTAACAACAAGCATCATTGCTTGTTGATAGGGTAATTTGTGATTATAAAAACTCTTTTCGAAAACTCATCTCTCTCAGCAGAGATGAGTTTTCGAGAAAACCGCTTTTTAGCTTTCACATCTCCATCTCCTACGAAAGAATAGTGTGAAAAAATCAGTTGAGTGTAGAATGAAGTCTCTACAAAAATGTGTAGATCATGCATAAAAGTTACGTTCAGACACAAAATGGAAGAAAGGGAAAATACTTTTGAAACAACTACTTTCTCATGAATATTGAATTATGAAAAATAATTTTTTTCTATTCAATAGTCTTCCAAATATTCGTTATGGAATCGAATCAGATATCATTCATATGAACGCTGCATTACTCTTCCACGTGTTATATTGTTTTGTTTCTTGTTTCTTTACCTTGAAGCTTTCCACATTTTTTTGTGAAGAGATGGAGAAGTGAAAGCCATGAAGGTTTTTCCACCTTTTTCCACTATAAACCTGACTTAGTGACATTCTAATTGTAATTTAATTTCACAGGCCAAAGAACTGAAAGGTATTAAAATTTTCCATTACTGTGGCGGCCTCAATTTTGCAACAAAGAATATATTCAGAGATGAGCTCTACAGATTGGTGGACGTTAACCCACAAAAGGAACTTATATGCCGTAACAAACTGGCCAGGAAACAAGAAAAGGTAACTTTATGGATTCAATAATTCTCATAAAAACAACAAGGTCTGGAGTCACGATTGAAGGAAACAAAATCTAAGCTGGTCTAATGGAACTCCTGGTACCAAACTTGGTATTACAAGTTCCATGGCCTACCTGAATTTTGTTTTCTCTAATTACTTATTTTTGTTATTCTTTTTTTTTTCATTTGATTCTAACAAATTTCTGGAACAAATTTGAATACTGTTCTGACTTTGTCAATGATTCAGGTGAAACATTTTTCCCGAGATATTATGTTATGTTTATTCCAACACGATAATTGAGATCGTCATTTGCGAAAATATGAAGCAGTGTTGTTTGTATTACCCGGCTCATAAATGAGTAAACTCAATGTTTCCAATAATTTCAGATTGTAGATGGTGAAAAGAAAGACAACAGTGAAAAAATGAAGAAATTACATGGAAAAATCAACACCAGTCTCAAATACATCATAATAGATTTCTCCTCAGTGAGCTACATTGATCCGTCTGGCGTATCTATGCTGGAAGGTGTAATAAAGGGTTTCGAGAAGCTACAAATCCCAGTTTTTATTGCCGGATGCTCTGGTGAGTACGGTTGAAGTGAGTGAGTCAAAAATATACTGTATTCATCAAAACTTTGAGTAAGGTCTCAGTAATTTCCATTAATTGTAATTGAATAACTAATCATTTTGAGAATGCTGACAGAGGTGTATGTATAAACTTGAGTTTTATTGCCGTAGTTTATTGCTCTGTATGGCTTTTCAGCTTCCTTAAAGAACGATCCCTGAAAGTGGAACGCTGGTGTTTCCCAGGGATCCATATTGTCTCTAACCCCCTTTTTATTGTATGTCAACGACTTATTGAAAAAACCAATAATCCAATATATTACTTTGCTGACAACAGCACACTTTTTTCGTCATTCCATCTGGGTTCCAGAACATCGGCTACGGAGGCATATCTTCAGCGGCAGTAGGAGGTTCCAAATCTTAATGATGATCTAGAAGTGATTTCGAATTGGGGTGAAAGTAACCAGCTTCAATTCAATGTTCTCAAAAACTCTTCCATTTGAAGAACTGCGTTCATGTGGAATAAACTTCACAAAAACGCTTTTCCAAAGGAATTAAATCTCCAGCGATTCAGATTAAAGTTTGTTGGGAGTTAAAATGGTCACCAAAATGTCTTGGCACACTCACGTCGCTGGGATTACAAAAGCTGCTTCTCAAAAGCTTGGAACACTGTTCCGAACCAGAAAACTGTACACACCTCAGCAACTTTTGATGCTTTATGAAGCTCAGATCTGATCTTTTTTAGAGTTCTGTACTTATTTACAGAGCTCTGCCTCCAAACACACCCTGAAGTTGCTGGATTCCATCCAGAAAAGAGCCATCTGCCTGATTGGACGCAAACATCACGTGCAACCTTGATAACCTGGAACGTCGATGAAAGTTTGGAAATTTGTCTCTCTTCAATAGATACTTTCATGGGAGGTGTTCAAGTAACTTGGTACTGGGCACATTTGATTCCACCAAGAGCGGTACATATCAGAAATACGCGACGGAATGTGGCTGTTCCTCGTTTTGAGGTTCAACTCAGTACACCTCAAACTTCACTGTTTAAGAACTCTTCCATCTGGAGAACTGCGTTTATGTGGAATCAACTTCCTGAGAACGTTTTTCTAAATGGATTTAACCTCCAGCGATTCAAATCCAATGTGAATCGCTACTTTCGCACAGGCACCGCTCTGTGAGCGTCTAAAGGATTATCCTGTAGTGCTTGTGTTTTGTCCTCAAAAAAAGTTTGCAGGTTTCTATGCTTGATGGCCGTTCGGAATCCTAGCATCCTAGAAGATGTCTGCTGGTGTAGTAAACGAAACGCTTGTCATCTCTAATCATGTCTCCTTTCTGATGGTTCATATTGCCTTTGTATTCTTGAATAATAATTGTCTCTTCATACAATCCTTCTCTGGAAACATGTTTGGCTACTGCTTATTTGCCGAGTATCCTTTTCGTAATTCCACTGTTGACCTAGTGATGCGGAATACTTCATAGTATCACCAAAGGCTCTCTTGAAGCTAACCTTAGACTTGTTGTGCATGTTTTTGTTGGCTCGAATATCGATATTTCTCCTCCAGAATCCTCCAGAATCCAGTCCGTTAAATTCTCAACCCAGGACAAAAAAATGTCCATCCATTTTATTCTGTAATGATAATATTTTCTGGGTTTGAGGTTGTCGTATATAAACATGTTTACTTTAATAAGCTAACACAAGATATGATCGACTATCATAGTTGAATCAGAATATTTGTTTGGAGGTGGTTGACAATGTTTCGTGGTGTATTTCATCAGTTCGGACTTCCATTGTCTAATATAATATAAATTGATTTGATAACCTTGAAAAAATCAAAAAGATTAACCTGAAATAACAATTTTATTAAACAAAAAAACTGAAATTACAAAGAAATAACATACAAGCAACAACCAAACATATATTAACATATTATTAACAAAAAATGAAAAAATAAAAATCAAAAGATTTCAAACCAAGTAATGTCATTCGTTTCGTTCGTAAGTATCCATAATCGTCTTCGGGTGATAACTGAACTCATTCCTCCGAGATCTGACTATTTATAGGTCATTCGAGTGCTTTCACCTATCCCCTCTTCCCTCTTTCCTATTTGTTTGGTTGTTGCTTGTATGTTATTTCTTTGTAATTTCAGTTTTTTTGTTTAATAAAATTGTTATGTTCGGTTAATCTTTTCGATTTTTCCACGGTTATCTAATCAATTTATATTATATTAGACAATGGAAGTCCGAACTGATAAATACAAATCAGAATGTGTTCACAAAATTGTTTCAAACGGTTTTCCCGACTTGAGCGACCCTGTATAATCGATATCAATTCATTGATTGGTGATATTGCATGATATTTTTGAAAACTTCGATGATTTTATTACCATTGAATGATTCATTTTTCATTATGACCCTGAGGAAATGAATAATGTTCATCAAGCCAAACATAGCTTCAACAGTATTTTTTCGCCAAAAAGCAATGTTTTATCAATACACGAAATTCTTTTTTACATGCTTTATATTAGCTTCACCTGTATGCATGTATGTATGTATGTATGATTGTTTGTATTTATGTTTGTATGTAACTCTCAAGATCGGGATCTGTATTGACAGAATTATCGGCATTATTACTTGATCTATTCGCGGGCAGATGGCGCTGTACGTAACTATCAATTATTGCGATCAAATCAATTCAAATCAAAATGTACTTTATTGTTGAAGATGAAATCTCATTGACAAAGTGTTACTATTCTAAGAAATATAAGATACACAACTTAACAGATATTGTCGAAGATGAAATATTATTGTCAAAGTGTTATTATTTTGAAGAATATAAGTTATACAAATTGAAAGTATTATTTGAACAATTGGTGATTTCAGCATTTTGGGGTGAACAAGTAGTCACAAAGTGATAATATATATGCTACATATCGAAATAAATAATAATAATAACGAATATTCTCATGCAACTCATAAATGTAAGTATGAGAATATGAAAACTATAAAGCATAAAAATATAAAAGTGAATGGATAGAAAATAACAGTAAGAATCAACTTCGCTTGAGCTTTTCGCGGGCAGATGGCGCTATACGTAACCTCCTTGATAGGTTGTTCAAAAGAGAATCAAAATAAAAAACATATTTTAAGATTTATAAGTGTTAGCGAAATTTTGTACTATAGATGAAATATTTAAATATTTTCAATTACCCGTGATTCAGTACAGAAAAAAGGTTTGAACAAAACGGGAGATACATTTTAAAATCTAATTCGATTATTTGATAGCAAACCAGAATATGGATTTCAACAATGAAAACTTTATCGTAAATTGTACACCTAAAAATTGAGTATTCAAATATTTAAAAAAATCGAAAAATTAGAATTAAGGTGCTTGACATACATATCAAAACAAAAGATTGATTTGAAAAATAAAATTATTCACTGAAAAAATATTTTCAGTCTATCAGTATTTTGAATGAAATTTCAAATCAAAACATCAAGACTGAATTGTTTTTTGAAATTATTACTGCAAATTTTCTCTTTACTTCGAATTCGAAACAAATTTTACAACTGTCCGCCCTCTGTTGGAGACTTACTAAGACCTCAAACCAATGCTCAAACTTTATTAAGTTGTTTGAGAGGAATTTTACGCCGTCTTTGTGGGCCGTCTGTTAAAGATTTATATTACTAGTGACTAGAACTTGAAAAAAAAGTATTTTTGACAATAAATCGGACTAAATACTGAAAAATGAAAATAGTTTAAAAAACTAAAAAACACGCTTTTGCAGAACATCGAACTGAAAAGTTGATTTTTTTTTAAATAAGCTCTAAACAATAACGAACGACAAATACTAGTATTTGAAAAAAGCGTGGGCGCTTTGTGTCATATTTTTACATATCAAGCGCACGTTGCTTTTTTCACAATAATACTATAGTATTTTTCGTTCGTTATTGTTTTGAGCTTATTTTAAAAAAATATTTTCAACTCCTCAGTTCGATGTTTTTCAAAGCGTGTTTTTTAGTTTTTTTAAACTATATTCATTTTCCATATTCTTCAAAGTAACAAAATTTGCTTCACTCAAAATGTTGTATCCCACAAACTCATAGTCCGACTGCTGTGAAACGTGTACACGTGTCTTTCAAGGTTGAGGTTAACTGAACATCATGGATTCAATACAAGTAGCGTCATCTGTGTATTAGCATACAAACTTTTCCGCGCACCTAATAATATAATTTTTTTTCAGACCGGGTATACAATTCTTTGGTGAGATGCGAATTGATTCCCAAAGAAAAAGAATCCGGAAATATCAAGACCTTTCTCAGTGTGCACGATGCTGTGCAATATACAACCTTCCTGCTTGGTTCAGAAGAATTCTGCATTTCAAGAATCACTTAAGAAAAGACGAAAATGTAGAAGTTAATGTGGATGTCCTCAAACTTTTTCAAAGTGAAATTATGATTGCTATGTGATATGTAAATAAAAAAGTCGACTAAGGTTAGGTTTACGCCTTTACGTGAATTTGTATTATGCTGTTTTGAGATGTGAAAATTCAGTATTTATTTTTTAATACAAAATTGGTCTTATTGATCAGGAATGTATTTGTTTATCTAGTTGATATGAACATTATTATCTCCTAAGATGAGAGGATCTACACAAAGCTGGTTGATGGATGAAAAGAGTATATTATATCAAATAAAAAAATGTCAATAAATATACAGGGTGTTAATCAAGTTGGTACCATAAATTCAACAGACGATTCTTTAGGAAATTTTAAGATGAAATGTTCATATAAACATGGATCCGCAAATCCTTCGTTCTCAAGATACACGGTGTTGAAATAAAAATAAAAAAAAAAGTTATTCGTAAATATCTCAAATATCCTTTATCTAATTTTGTTATGATTTGGCAATGGTATTTATAACATTAAGGAGCTAATTTAGCCCGAACGTGATTCAATTTTTCAAGTCCAGTGGCGTCTCGATCGGGATTTGAGCGAATACTTTTTACTTAAAAATGTACGCCACTGACTTTTATGCAATTTTGATTATTTCTTTGGATTAGGAGATTAGAAATACAATTTTTTGTCTCTTGAATTTTTTTCGTATCTTGCTTAGTATTTAAGAATAAAAAGTCGACCTAATTGCATGTCCCTGGACTTCACAATAGGAGGAATTGAATGTTTCCTTTTGGAAATATTATTTTTACAATGTTTCATTTCTGATTATGTAACAGTAGCAACAAATATTAAATAACATTAACATCTAGACTAACGAATTGCACTAAATTAAGTGTTGGAAATGGCCTCCTTCGGCTTCAATACAACCGTCTAGCCGCCGCATCATTGAATTTCGCACTCTTCTGAAAATACCTGGCATATTTTTTATTATGTCACATGAATTAATGATTTTATTCCGTAAATCCTCCACCGTAAATAAAATTCGCTTCAATTTTCTCTTCCAATGGACGGGAATTAACCATTTTAGAGATGGTTGACGTGGTATCTTTCTACTAATGAAACCAAAAAGTAAATAAGAATCTAACTGAACGAAGATGTTCATTGTCGTACTGACATTTTTGTCGTTTTCATAAACAAATAATAACCACTTTTAAAGTTTCATTTGTCAATTTCACTTCAAAACAAAGGATTCATGCATTAATTTCATTTTCCCAGATTCCAATTTTTTGAGTTGTCCCGTTCACAAAATGAAAGAGAGGGAAATTATACATGCACTGTATGTGATATTGAGAACGATTCACATTATGTATGCATAAGAACGCTTCCCAGTCATTTCCAGCTTAGACTTCGAAATATTACCTGAAGATGTCTGCCGCAGTAGCAGACGGAACGTTTGGTATTACTGGCACACCAGAATTATGTGTTCTTTTCAATCTGTTCGTCAATTGACAGCCTGAATCTGTATGACAGAAGAAGGAATTGAAATACTGTTTCCAATGGAGGCTTTTTGTTATTAGTTTCAGTTGAAGTTGATTCAGTTCTCAGTTTGAGTCCACAACAGATTTTAAACAGAAACAGACAGATATTTTGTATCATTCCTATATTGATTGCCGTGTTGAAAAAACTGCTGGCTATCTACATCATCATACTTTTTATTTCTCATACTGTCTCACGCAATAATTCCTTATTTCAAGCTAGCAATAGTCATCGAATATATCGTAGAACGAACATGTGCTTTGATGATCCACGGGTTCCGTGACATCGATTAACTGGGATGCTTTCCAACAACTCATGGGTGGTAGAAATACTCCCTCAGAACATGATTCCGGAGAAATGAAATATCTGTATTCTTCATCACCTGAAACAAAATCTTGATAATGTTTATTTTTGTTATTGATGATGTTTTATTCGAAAAATTAATTCAACTATCAATAAAATGAAATCAGTCAGTTTCATTGCCATCTTCTTATATCAAATTATGGAAAAAAATATTTTGAATGTGGTATTTTTCTGGAAAAAAATGGCAAAAGTCACCAATATTTGAAAATGTTGCTTGAAAATTATAGGCGAATTTCTGTTTCACCGGTATTTTCAAAAATATTAGAGAGAATCATAAGTTGTTCTTATTGAGTAGTCAGTATGGATTTTGGAAAACTGGAAATACAGTATTGGCTGCTTTGGAAATCATTAAGGTTATTCAACAGAATACGGTTAATGAAAAAATTGCTGCTGAGTTTAGACTCATGCAACTTGTATAACAGATTTTGTCGGTGAGTATGACGAAATTTTGGCTCTTTCTATGTGATTCTTCACTTTCATATTTTCTCTTTTTGATGCTAGTGATTTTTGGCCCTTAGTTAGCTGGAGTTGGCTGGGAAGATTTTCAGAGGGAACTATTGTTGAACCACGATTTGTTATTTCTTCGAAACGATACCTGAAGACGTAAATCATGTGTTTCTCTTACCTATGAGGGTGTTATCTATAACTTTGAGATCAATAATGATTTTTTTTCTCCAGTTGATTTCGTCCAACAACGACGTCGTATAAACATGATGGCCCCAATAACTCAATAATATTATGGAGATATTCTTAAGGGATACTCAAATAATCGAGAAACATGGAGGGTCGAGAGCTATACCGCTCGATATTTCGAAGGCTTGTGACCGTGTGTTGTATGAGGGTTTGCTGGCCAAACTTCGATGCTATGGCTTGGATTATTTTTGTGTATGGCTCTTCCTGAAATGACGTTTCCTGCAAATGGTCGTCGACAAATATCTCTCGAATACTTCTATCATCAATGCTGGTGTTCCCCAGGGATCTATATTTTCTTCAACCTTCTTTCCTTCTTATTGAAAAAAAAACGCAGGTATCGGTTTCCTCCAAAAAGATAAATATCTCCGAACCGGATATAATAATGTCAGGTCGGACAATTCCACTTTCTGCTTCGATAAGTTTGTTGGGGGTTAAAATCAACAGCAATATGTCTTGGCACACTCGTGTCGCTGGTATTGCAATGGCTGCTTCTCGAAATTTTGGAACACTGTTCCAAAATTTTCCTTCTTATTGAAAAAAAAAAACGCAGGTATCGGTTTCCTCCAAAAAGATAAATATCTCCGAACCGAATATAATAATGTCAGGTCGGACAATTCCACTTTATGCTTCGATAAGTTTGTTGGAGGTTAAAATCAACAGCAATATGTCTTGGCACATTCGTGTCGCTGGTATTGCAATGGCTGCTTCTCGAAATTTTGGAACACTGTTCCGAACCAGACAACTGTACACAACTCAGCAACTGTTGATACTTCATTGAGCTCAGATCAGGCCTTCTCTGGAATATTGTTCTCATGTATGGAGCTCCGCCCCTTGAGCTATTAGATTCCATCCAAAAAAGAGCCATCCGCTTAGTGGGAGAGGCGAACATTACTTGCAACCTTGATAGTCACCGCTTCTACAGCGCCTTAAGGATTTTCCTGTAGTGCTTGTGTTTTGTCCTTAAAAAAATTAGGAATTGATTAGGTGCTCCACCTCTCATGAACCACATGTTATTCCTAACCCGCTACATCTTGTTACCCAACTTCAATTCAATGTGGTGTAATCAAAATAATTAGTACTGGGTCTGAGTTAATCGCATTCTGTCTGTTCAACAATCTGTTTCACCGTTAACCAGCTATCGCACCCCCTACGAATGACAACTCTCAAAAGTCGACACTTGTGCGAGCTGAAGACTAACGAGGTCTTACTTTTTAACGTGTAAATCCTAGCACGGATTGGACGATAGGAAGTGTAAATCGATCGTCCGGCCTCGCGGTTTACACAGCAGTCGATTGAGTTTGTGAAGCAAAGCACCCACGTCAACCCGACCGGCTACCATCCCATCGATTGTACGCACAAAGATTAATTTAATAGAGACACATGATTCACCATTTTTGATAAATTGCAATGCACAAAAGTGAGAATGATAGTACTCCTGATTCAGAAAATTACAGAACAATAACGTAAGAATATTTCATTCCTCTATTTTTAACGAATCTCCAAAAATGAATTGTTGATTCCATGATTGAAACATGGATTTGTTTCAAAACAATTAGGTTTGAATGGAAAATGGAAAACGGAAAGCTATTATTGACTTTGTTCAGAACGAATTCGGATAGAAAAATTAGTTCTTTCGTGATCTGAAGCACAGTTTGAAGAGGCAGATTCTGCCTCTGTGAATGAAAACCCATACATTTCTAAAAATACATTGAGAAGGGGTCTTGAGATATTTGGAATACAAAAAAAAGGAAGTTGTTTTTTTTTCTTTGAGAAAACAAACAAAATATTTCACTGGGTGGGATTGAAAAATCAAATATACACTGTGCCCAAGATAAGAATGAACAACATGGGGATATCGGAAACGGTAAGTGATACGAGGTCGATTGAATTAGAGAGAAGTAGTGCATTTATATGCCTAATGATATACTATTTAGAAAGTTTCAATATTCCGAGAAGTTTCGAGAACAACCAAAATTTGGGAATTTCGTTTTAATTTTTTCCTAGCTTTATTTGCTAAGGAACTGTAAAACAAATAGCACTTCGTCATGGCCACTTTTTAAGGACTACACGATAATGTAAGCAGAATTTTTCTGCGACGTTTCGTCTTTTAGAAAACATCAAAACATCATCAACTTTGTATTTTTATAATGGCTGAAACTAAAGTACACCCTGTATGCGACTCCATTTTTCATTGTGAATACAGCAACGTATCATATAATATGGTTCCATAACCATTCTTTGCGCAAAATCAAAAGTGAATGCTTAACCTGCTTTTCTTTAATTTTAGATTGCTGGAAAAATGTCATATTTTGATATACGAAGTAAATTGATCAGTCTTACTCATAACAAATTTCAACTTACCACTTGCTGGAATTTTTGCGTTGTTGAATACAAAGATGAGTCGCAATATCAGATTTGCTGAGATGGGTTCTGCATCCTTCAACAATATTGTTCCGAATATGTTAACTCAAGTTTTTAATTCGTCTGTGAGACAAGGGTACGTGTGCTTAGAAAATAATTCAATTATAACACTTGTTATAGGTTTCTGTTTATTTCCTATGATACATATTAGGTCCTTGTTTACATTACAATTACATTTTATAAACTAAACTTTTGTATTGCGACTCATCTTTCTATTCAACAACGAAAAATCCCGGCGAGTGGTAAGTTAAAATTTATCATTAATAAGACTTCATGTTTATTATGTATATTTACTTCATGTATAAAAATATGCCATTTTTCTAGCGCGTACTATCTAAAATTGAAGAAAATCAGGATAAATAATCACTTTTCATTTTGCGCGAGAAATGGTTATGAAATCATATTGTGTGTTACGTTGCTTTATTTATAATGAAATATAGAGTCGTATACAGGGTTTACTTCAGTTTCGGCCCATATAAAAATGAAAACATTCATGAATCGTTTAAAAGTAATAAGATTGATCTGTTACTGACATCGATACAATCATTATAATCGAAGTGGCTAAGAATTGGAAAGAATAAATAAATTTTCACCTAGGTCAGGTAGTTCACGAGCCATGTCCACCCAAGGATTCCATAAGTTCAAGTTTGGTAGGTTGCGTCTTCGTAACTTCGTTACTTTCCCGAAATCCCCGTCTTTAACGTATATGGTTGTCGAAGAGTTCAAGTATAATCTGTCAACAGGATTGGATATAGTGATTTCACTTCTGTCTTCATTGTAATATTTTTTTTTCTTGTCGAGTCTGTCTCGGAATTGGCAACCTTTCAACCCTATTATTCTGCATTTGGAAATGTCCGATATTTTCATCAGAAATCGTAGCATGAAGTCGAAGTAGAATGGTAAATAATTGCTTCTGTTTTCCACGTGGAACTCTATGAAAAGAGTTTCTTTTCCTAGGGTAACTCTATTCATCAGCTTGAACTGAAAATATACAACAAATGTATTGTAAAATTACCCAAATCAAAATGATTGATGCATTTTTGAATACCTGAAATCAGAAAATTGTGATAATTCAGAATTAGAACTTCTAAAGTTGATTGAGATCCCCACTATTGAATTTGGGACCTTTTATTAAGTCATCTATACTAGTTCAGTAACGTATTTTTGGCTCACATGCCTATCCGGATCTTGACCAATGAAAAATTGTACTGTAATATTACCGCATCTACCGTTTCCATAATACAGTTCAGTTATCGATACTCATTCCGAAGTCTACTCATGCAGTGAGATACTATATGAAGATGAATTGTTTGCGAATCATTCATTACTTCTCGCTCTCTCTCTACCTCTCAACGAAATTGGAGAAAATTATGATTCTCCACTGAGAGCAGAGAATTTAGAAAAAACAAGTATCAAAATTGTCTCCTTTTTTGAAAGTTTTTTCTACAGCCTGTTAACGTAAGCAGTATTAAGCAGTGTTGAAAAAAAATGAATGAAATTCAGAGACGGCCTAGCTTGACCGATGTTTTTTAAGATATAAGAGTTTATTTTTTTTTCTCCAAGAGGTGGGAGTTACAATGATGTTATGGTACGTTAAAAAAATTACCTCTAAGTGAAAATTGATGGAATGAAACATTCCATCTACAAGAAATCATTTTAGTATCGTTCAATTTTCATTCTGTATAATATGGAAATTCAATTCCATCCTAACCTTCACAGCTGCGATAAAATGGATCATTACATTTTTTACCATGATTTTCGCCACGAAATTATCAATGTTTTTCATGAGAAAAAAATAATTATTTATTGTAAATAATGTCCTTCCATTCTAAAACATTGAACTCAGTGGAAGTAGAATTTTCCACAACATCATATGAATTGAGTAGTAGATCCGTGTTCAAGAATACCATTTTCTCATGAAACATCATCGAAGATATTGGGCAGAGAATATTCGTTGTAAGGTGCTTGACAATGTTTCATGGTAAATATCATTAGTTCATTCTCTAATATGATACAAAATGATTTCACATCCCAGAAAGAATCAATAAAATTAAAATGGAAAGCTGATATTAGGCAAAAAAAAACCTGAAATGAAGAAAAATCTCTTCAAAGTCTGTTTTTTCGCACCCCTGCACAGCTGTCGCACCCCTACGAACGACAACCCTCAGAAGTCTATTCTTCTGCGAGCTGAGGAATAACGAGGTCTTACCTTTTAACGTGTGATCCTTCACACGGGTTGGACGATAGTAAGTGGAAATCGATCGTTCAGACTAGGGCTTAAACCACCGACTAACACGGCCGTCAAGTCGAGTGAGTGAACAGAGCACCCACGTCGAACGGCCTGGCTACCAACCGACCGAATTGAAATAAAATAAAATACAAGCAACAATTGAACCATTGAAAAAAATGAAAATTAAAAGATTCAAAGTCAAATTTCTTCACGATGTTTCGATTGTTAGTATCCACAGTTATCTTCGGATGATGACTGGACTTATTTCTCCGAGAGATGACTATTTATAGGCCATTCGAGTGCTTTCACCAATCCTCTCTTTTCTTTTTCCGCTTCAACAGTTTAGCGAGAGTTGATAGTTTGGCGAAAGTTGACCGTTTTCTGCTTCATTATGGGTTTTCATATGTTGGGTATCTATACGCTAGTTTGGCTGAATGCGATTTTGACTACAATTATGCGGATTCTTTGAGTTTCTTCCTGAACCAGTGCTCCTTCCTATGGATCATCTCAGCTCAGTTAATGAGTCTAAACATGCTCTGCTATTCCAGATTTGCTGATTTCTTTTCGCTGTTTGTGATTTTTGTGCTCGGCAATGGGGACTTTCAATGGCCCCTTAATTCTACCGATACAGGATTTTCCGTACTCGCAGGATATCCGGTAAATGCAATTCTCAGAATCGCAGTCCGCGTTTTGTGGCCTGGTTTCCGTGAGACTCCTACGGAAAGTGTTTCCGGATCTGAATCAGATTCTGATGTTGTATTTGGACCCAATTCTCCTTATCCTTTCTGATACTCCCCTGATATAGGAAGTGCAGGTACTGGTTATGACGCTTTCTCTTCCTTGCGAGGCTCCTGCTGTCTTTCAGCCAAAGTCTGTTCAACCATCACTTTGGAGTAACCATTCCATTGAAGATATTTTTGATGATGCCTCATTACTTTTCGAGACCTTTCTTCGTATTACAGAGCACTAAGACACAGTCTTCTAGAGCCTTGATGATTCCTCTTTCAGTCGATTGATGGTGGTTGGATTCGTAGTTCAGATACTATTCCGTGTAAGTGGGTTTTCGGTAAACAGATGTTCCCCACTTAGTGTCGGTCTTCTTTACCAACACGTCCAAGAATGGCAATTCTTTGTGGACTAGTTCTGAGTTTCCATAGTTCCATATTATGAAAGTGTCGTCAACGTATCTCGACCAGACTCGGGGCTTGTGGGCTTCTTCAATTGGCAGCGTTTGGAACCACTCCATATAACTGTTGGCTATAACTGGTGGACGTGGCGATCTCATTGGCAGTTCCTCATGCTGCGTAAATAATTTGTCTTCCAGTTGAAAAAATCAGTTTCGTACACAGCATCCTCAGGAGAGAGAAAGAGCCCAACGCATATTGGAACGCACCAATCGGTTACTGATAAGGTCTCAAAGTTAATTACCAATTATTTTTTCCACGACCTTAAATGAAATTGCTGAAATTTTCAATTACCTACTAAAGTTGCTCGACGTTTCGACTTTGAAGCCATTTTCAAAAAAGTATCACACCGAAGTGTCAAACTACCTACTCTAGGTACTGACTTGCGTTGATGGATCTCAATCTGCCTACTCCTCAGGTATCGTTACTGGTCTCCGCAAAGGGACCTACTCGGCATACTCCCAAGCTTCGGGTAAAGGGTAGGAAGAGAGTGAAGGGAGAACCTTGGAGAGACCCTTGCGGAGACCTTGGAGAGACCTGGGGAGTAGGCACATTGAGACCCCAGTGTAGTATCTTTTCGAAAATGGTTCCAAAGCCGAAACGTCGAACAACTGAAAACACAACACCCGGTTCAGAAGATAACCAAAGGTGGTTTATCTTTTCTTGCAGCGGCCTAATTGTTAGATGTGAAATTGTTATAACAATGAAATATTGAAGGGACAGTTAAATAAAGATATAAACACTTTCAAATAGAGTAATTCTTCAGAGAAAACATAAGCGAGGAAAATGTTGTATTTTCAGTTGATTGATCTGAAAAAATAAAAAACTACAACAAGTCAGTGGCGTACTTTTTTTCCCAATATTGTTGGCTGTGGTGTCCACTGAAACTCCACTGGACTTTACAATTTCAATTCAGATATGGTTGAATGAGCGCCTTATTACTTCAAATAACTGTAGCGAATTTCAACTGAATTGATGAAAGGATGTTTATGATATTTTATAAATACGGTTTTTTTTAAAGTGCATTCATGAAACAAAGCAATTCCGGATATATGTTCAAGAAAACTTTTTTATTGAAACGACCTAAGGGATCACCCTCTGAAGTTTTGTGCCGTAGTTCCGTAGTTAGGAAACATTTTGTATGTGAGTGTCTTGAAGGTACCAGTACGTTTGGAATGAAATAGTGGAAGTTTGTGTACCTAAATGTACAGTATATCCTGGTAAAAAACGGTTTCCAATATGTTTCACTAAAGAGATTAAAGATAACTTGAAAGAGAAGGAAAAATTTAGAAAATTACAATTCACTTCTGATTTTTTTAATGACAGATATAAAAAATTTGAGAAAAAAAGTTCGCAATTTGATAAGAATAGAAGAAATTTAGCAGAAAATATATCATATTTTTGGAATCACGTGAATGATAAGAGGAAAACCTCTTCAAGTGAAGGTGAATTTACATATAAAGGAAAAACAGTTAAAGATGAAGAAACAGTAGGTAGTTTTGCGAATTTTTTCTCCTCAGTGTTTTCCATCACTAAACCCAGATATAATTTGAATCTTGATTTGAGTAACAATAAGAGTAACGAAAGTTTTTCATTGCATACAATTATCGATTCAGACTTTATCTACGCCGTAAAAAAACTGAAACCTAAAAAATCAGCAGGAGTGGATGACATACCACAATACATCTTCAAAGCTTGTAGTGACTGGTTGAAACAGCCACTGATGCATATTTTCAATTTGATTCTATCTACTAATGTGTTTCCTTCTGCATGGAAAACATCTATAGTATCTCCAATCTTTAAATCTGGCAATAAAACGTCTATTGAAAATTATAGGCCAATATCTATTTTATGTGTGCCCCAGCAAAATTATTTGAACATATTGTATACAGCAGATTATATCAGTTTGTTGAAAAGTATCTCAGAGTGGAGCAAAACGGTTTTGTAAGAAATAAATCTATTGAGTCAAACTTGTTAACTTACACTCACAAAGCATATGAGGCACTTGAAAACAAATCTCAATTGGATACTATCTATACAGACTGCCAAAAAGCATTCGATAAAGTAGATCATGATATTTTATTGTTAAAGTTGAGTCATTATGGTTTAACTAAAAATACTCTCAAATTGTTCAAAAGCTATTTGGAAAACAGAGATTCTCTTGTAAAATATCATGATTCATATTCAAGAAAATTTGAAGTTACCTCTGGAGTCTCACAGGGATCAAATTTAGATTCCTTATTTGTTGTTTTTTTTATAAATGATTTGCCAGCAGTGCTGGAATTCTCAGAATGCCTAATGTTTGCTGATGACCTAAAAGTTTATAAACAAGTACAAACAGTCAGGGATTGTGTAATGCTACAAAAAGATCTGAACAAGGTTTATGAGTGGAGTTGTGAAAATAAATTATTTTTCAATATTGACAAATGTTCAGTAATGTCGGTTATGCGCAAAAGAGACCTTATTCAGTTCAGTTATGAACTCAATAGGGTCCCTCTCGAAAGAAATACAGAAATAAAAGACTCAGGGATTACATATAACAATACATTATCATTCAAGAATCACGTAAGAAATATTACAAGAAATGCAAATAAAATGTTAGGGTTTATTATCAGGCAAACTAGAAATTTCAGCGATATACATTCGGTCAAACTACTGTACTACACATTGGTTAGAAGTAAATTGGAATTTGGATCAAATATATGGTTTGGCGAATATAACTCCACATTATATGAATTGGAAAAACTTCAGAATAAATTCTTAAGATATCTTTACTTCAAAAAATATCACGTATGGCCAGACTACCGTTTAGTGATAACATCTCATTTGAGAGATGAATTCAGGATACTTTCTTTGCAAAATAGGCGCAAAATATGTGTAATATCATTTCTTCACCGGCTTCTTAATAATAAACTTAACTCATATATTATCGTCAATTAATTTTCACGTTCCAGCCAGAAGGACAAGATCAAATACAATGTTTCATATAAAAAATTTCTACTCCATAGGTGCCCCACTTACAGGTTTGTTGCGTCTCGCAAATGAACTGAATGTAATAATTGATATAGATTGGACAGATTCTCTAACGAATTTGAGAAAAAAAATCATTATACAGCTAGTGGCAATGTCTTTGTAGGATCATCACACTTAATAATCGACCCCGTCAGTAACTGATTTATAATATTTTTTTTTTATTATATTGTATCTATTATATTGTATGTAATAAGGTCATCCTTGTAATTAGACCTATGTGGTCTGTTAGGGTGAATAAATAAATAAATAAATATTCTATGTAAGGATATACTTTGAAACGTTTTTTTCGAAAGATGTGATGAATTACATTCGAGTTGAAGTTCTCATTCTTTGAAATACGTTTTATCAAACTCAATTCCTTATTGAAATTCTCTGTGGTCATTGGTATGTTGATGAGTCTGTCGATCATATTGTGGTAAGCTGCTAATTTATGTTGGTGAGGTAATTAGAATAGTTGTCTGTATAGATTAGTCTATGGTAACTTGTTTAATCATGTTATGAAAGGAGTTGATGTGTTCAAAAAATTCCAAACGCATTCCTGTAAATTATGTAATATTCATCATGTATTTGGATGAGTTGTTAATTGTACGGTATTCGTTTCTTCTGCATTGAATATGAGTGCAATGTAGTTTGTTTTTATGAGAAATCAGAGTTGTATCAGCAGCGTATATTGTCAATTTGATATCGGTAAAGATGGTTAATAATACGACAATGTATCAGATGGACAGCACCGGCCCAAGGACCAAACCATGCGGTACTCTTGTAAATGATTCAGCGCCGAATGACTTTATATTACAAGCAAATATTTTTCAGTTTTCCAAGACAGAGAATCCATCCATTTCAAAGCAACTACCCTCATTCAATAATCATATCATTTATGGGAATGAAACTTTTTGGCTTTCTACTATTCCATCTTGAAAAAAAAAGTGGAAATCTTCCAGAGAAAGGAAGGAAGTAATCAATGTTTTTTCTTTCGTGTAATTCAATGTTTATATGAAAGTAGCTGTTTCAGGAGAGCTTTCTTCAGGTTTGTGTCTGAAATTTACTTCTTTGCATGATCTACACATCCATGTATAGAGTTACTCATTTTCAAATTGATTACTTCCTTCCTTTCCACATTTTTTTGTATCAAGATGACGTAGTAGAAAGCCATAAACTTTCTTTCCCAAAAATTAATCACTCCTGAAAATATAACCCCTTCGATACAAATATATATATATATATCATTTATTGAATAGAACTGACCGATACTTGATGAAAATCCATATTAAGAAACGAATCAATACAGTTTAATGTATGATTCTCACTATGAAAGGGTTTTACAAAAACCGCGACACGTGTTTCGCTATACAAGCATATATCATGCTCAAGCTTGCTCGCTCAAGCATATATAATTTACATATACGTTTGCTATAATTCACGCAAATAAAATACCCATAGGTGTTTCCCCATTGCCCAGATAATTTATCAGATTTCCATTCTGAAAATCATGTTGACAAATGAAGATAATATTTTGTTCATTAAAAAAATTTGTTCATTACCTGATAATTCCATAGAGATTCTGTATAAGCATCGCTTTCCAATACGAATTCCGCATAAACGTCTTCTTTTCTGTTATATGTTGGACCAGTTTTTATTTTCCAAGTGAGATCTCTAGCAAAGCCATGTCGTCTTCCGAATTCCCATGTTCCTAACTTAGGAAAAGCTACACCAATTCCACCACGAATTTCACCTATATGAAAGTGATATCCTTGTAGGATACTCAATATAAATTATATCACGACATTTTCATTAAGAATGAATTTTGTGAGATATGAACTATTCAAAGATTGGTACACACGGAAATCAAATTTCAGAGGCATGTTATGCTTTCTGAATTACTATCCAGAAACATCTTCCTACCAACTAAATAATGTGAATTTCATTAAATAAAAAATAAAAGTTTGAATCGAGCCATTAACTCAGTGCATTTGAGGCGTACAATTATTTGCTAATTATTAATGAATATTCACAATGTTATCTGTCGAAATTTGTTGACATTTTCCGAGAATGATCTGATGTGTATGCACGCATGTGATTGAGGGGGAAGTGGTATTAGAATATATTCTATTTGCCATAGAAATGGAATTTGAAATGTGTCTGAGGGTCAAATTTTATGAAAAATTCACTGGTGAAAACCGCATAATGATATCTATAATCGTTTTTCAGTTTCCTGTCAACAATTTCTTGTTTCTATCAAAATATTTGAAAGCACTTTCCACGTAGAATTCAATAGTGTGAAAAACTAATTTTCTAAATTGAGATATCGATAGTCATTGATAGAGAACTATTTTTTAATGAGATACCCTGTATGTTCCAGCATATTTCAATAGAGCTTAAAATTAGCTTTCCTAAAATGTAGTACCTACACTTGATGTTATGCTTTGAAATACAAAGCTTTTAGGTTTTTTCATGTAGACTTTCAAATGTGTGGAATGTGATAGTCTATTTTATACAAACCGGAAAATGCAGAAGCAGCAAGAAATTTGTATCACGAGAGGTATCCAGAGAGAAAATAACCTTTCAAAGACATTTTCGCAAGATTGCGACACAACCTAATTGATGGTGGTCAATTTGAAAAGAGAAGGCCAAAATTATATGAATCAAAAAGTTTCGTGGAGGAATCCAAGCACTGCCATGAACTGAATTGGTCAGTTCTTTGGGATGTGGGAAAAGTCAAATCCCAGAAAGGATCGAAGGTTACTGATGAGTGTCCACAGTGTGTGCTCTTCATCGTGGATTTGAATTGACCAACGATATTATCTACAATCTTTGAGTTATTCACACTCAGATATGTCAGCCGTGACTCTCGTGCTTTTTCGTTGTCGCTCAATTTATTGTCAATCTCTGTTGAGATCAGTTTAGGTTTCTCATCAATTCTATTAACGTCATCATGTAAACCTTCTGAATGATAACGAAGGAACTCTTGGGTATCTTGATGCGCATTACCCATGAGTCGAGGGGCAAAACTCTGAATCTAACTTTTCAAGGAGACTGATGTGTTCACAATTCTATCACACAATTCTATCGTGGTCTTCTGACCACGATAACTTTTGCGAACGCTTTGATTAAATCACCCTCCATACTAGAAATAATAGTATTGATATCTCTCATGTATTCATTTTTTTTTAAATATTCCAGTAACCATCTCTTGTTTGATAAACGTTGGATTAGACTGTCCATGAAACAGGTGTTGCCAATATTTTTCACCCGTTGAGCCCGAGAGTTTTGACTGTATCTGTTGGTGATACTGCTGTTTTCTTCCAAATAATCACGGATGGGATGATACTCCCCATTATTGGACCTGCGGCATGAGAAATTTGGAAGTTAAACTGCTTGAAACTGGATTGGATAGATTTATGGTAGATTTTTCGAGTTTGTGAGACAATGATAATTCGAGAACTTGTTCAATTCGGTGGTTTTGGGTGAAAATTTTGATTTGATTCGTGGGTGCAGGAGATATCAAATATGAATACATATAATTGTACAGTTCAATTTACGACAATACTTCTTATGAACTCAGTCCAACATATTGTGCAGGTTCTTCATCACAATCTAACATGGCAGTTGCCAATATGCACGATTACTGCGCTAGAAAGTTATTGATTCGAAACAAGACGAATACTGTCGTATTTTCTCATGATGATAATGATCCTAGTATTTAAGTGAAGTCAATTGAACACAAGAAATGTGCGAAATACTTGGACTTGTACCTGGATTTTCAGTTAAGAGGTGAATTTTCATTTTTCACAAAAATAATAATTTATCCATCAATTTCTATTTTATTTCCTTCAAAGTAGTACCCCTCAGGTACTACTTTGACACATTCGTGTCGGCATTTTTTTCAATTCTCGAAGCAGTTCTGATATGCACATTTTGGTACCTCTCAGCGATTCGGTTTTTATCTCCTCAATTGTTGCAAAACGTCGTCGTTTCATGGGTCGCTATAATCTTGGGAACAGAAGAGAATCGCAAGGGTCGAAATCTGGAGAATACGGTGGCTGAAGCATGATTACGGTATTGATTTTGGCTAAAAAATTACGAACAAGCAACTACGAGTGAGCATGTGCATGATTGTGATGCAGAAGCCATGTATTGTTTTTCCGCAATACTGGACGTTTTCTTCGTACTGCTTCTCGAAAGCGATGAATAACTTCAAGATAATACTCTTTATTGACCGTAAGACCATGTCATAAGAACTACTCAGGAACTAAGCCATGATTATCGATGAAAAGAGTGGCGTGCTTCTTTGGTATTGGCTCTACTGGGATCTTCCATTGGAACGATTGGACTTTGGTTTCGATGTCGTAACCATATACCCATGATTCGTAACCACTTTTAGGCAAATCTGGATCGCAGTTGTCATCATTTAACAATTCCTGAGCGATGCTTATGTAATTTAGTACTTTTTAAACAATCCCCGTCACAGGCGTCATGTCCGAAATGTCTGAAAAAATTGCATGGTATGAGCCAACCGATATGCCGACATCCTCAGTATCTTTTGTGATAGTGATTCGATGATTCTCCATAATAATTTTCTTCACTTTCTCAACAATTTAATTGGTTGTTGATGTGCTGGGGCGTCCAAGACGAGCGTCGTCATTCACACCTTCTGAACCTTCTGCCACTATCAACATTTCAATTGTTTCTGAGTAGTCAATTCTATTATTTACAAAAAATTTGAAACAAATTCTTTGATCCATTTTCTCGATAGCAGAAAATCGCCGAACATGCAGAGCATTTCTTATTTTTATGCCTCCCACCGAAAATCTAAACATGCTAAATAGCTGTAACTGCGAACGTATGTTGGAGACGAGTGTATCAACATAAAATAATAAAAAAATCGCCAACTGAATATACGTAGCCTGCGAAATTTGAAAATTCACCTTTTTTCTCAACAGTTTACAAATTGAATTGTTAAGGTATATTTCAGCTTCATTACTTTTTGATTTCTGTGATAGAAGACAGTTTCCTTCTTCAAAAGAAGCAAATCCTGATTTTTAATGAGCTCAGTTCAGCATCTGCATGTGATGATTCATACATATAATATCCGATAAATTTCCTTTATTTGTTTTCATAACGTGTTGGAAACATGGGTCTATATTTCAGAAAACTTTTGATTTCGAAATGATTAAAGATGAGATGTGGGAAAAGACGAAAAAGGGATACCAAGGTAGGAATGAATCGGTTTATTCTTATTACCAAGATAAAGTCACTCTTTGTCAAGCGCTTGGTTATAATCATGACGAAACCAAAGAACAAGTTATTATAACAACTTGTCCTTTGTTTTGTATAACAAAAACATTGTTTTTGGTTTGCTTGCCATAAAAACGATAGATAATGATGAATTGTTACATGAAATTATTGGATTTGGAAAAATTATTAATAAAGCAAAAGTCAATATCATGATCGGAATTTTGAACGGACTTGTCAGCAAGAGAGATTATATAGTAAAGGAGGTAATTGGAACAACAATAAAAATTTAGATGAAATAAATGATTATTTCAAAAATAAAGTGATTTTCATTGCGGAAATAACGAGGAGACTAGAAGAGAAAGTCAGGGAGAACGTCTCAATTCTAGAGTAATTTGTTTTCGTTGCAAGGAGAAAGGTCATATAACGAAGTATTGTACCAAGAGTACAATCAATGTGGGAAAAGTTCCAATATTGCTGAAGGACAAAATAACGATATTGACAATTTGCGAGCCCAATCTTTAGTGTGTGGACCATTTAACGATGCTGATCCAGTTCAGAAATTCCTCAGACAAGTCAGAATCAATGATCTGTTCGTTATTTCAGCTTTTGTTGATCCTGAAAGTGCAGTATGCACAATAAAAGAAACGGTAGTGATATCCAATTGTTCGAAATGTTCAGACACTCATCAGTGCTTGTATGGTTTTGGAGGGCAGAGCACTGTGAGTAAACATCTGACCAAACAAAATCTTGAAAAATATGGTCGAAGTACAAGAAGAGGTCGAGGCTCTTGTAATACCTGACAGCGCTCAATCTATGGATTTAGTGATTAGCCGAACATTTACTGAACTACCGGGAATAGCTTGTGTTAGAATTTGTATGTTGGATATAAAAATGAAGACCTGAAAATAAGAAAACTGCAATACGTGTCCGAAAAGATGTCAGTTTTAAAAGAAATAGAGTGAATTTCGTCGAAGTCTAAATTGGTGAGGAAGTATCACATTTATCAATGATAACTGACTGCGACATACACCTGAAAGAGAGAGATTGTGTTGGAAAAATACGAGAAAACAATGAAAGTATTGTTGAATTGAAAGTACAAGAATAAAACTCAATGCCTAAATAACAAAAAAAACAATATCTATGATATATCTCTCAAAGTTTGACATTGCTCTCCAAAACCTCTACCAATATGGTGAGCCAAAAAAGTATTCAATTACAACAAACGTAGGTACCCTTTTTACAAAAACTGATAGAAAAATATTTCTTATGCCTCATAATTTTTGTGGATAAATTATTGTTAAGCAAACGAAACTGCGACTCTTTAAATATTGTCCTCTACATCTTGAATTTGCTGATTTCAGCTAGTTCGACATACTTGCCAAATATGAATAAGAGTAAGATTATACTCACTCAGATAAAATAAGGAAGATTTTCGACTGACAAAAATTTGTTCTTTGTTGTTGATCCTCCAGGATGTTACGACAGCTCCATGTAAGTTAACAGCACATGTTGTATAGTCCCCCCTATCAAGAATAACTACTTCATTCTCCTTCATTTACCATACAAATACTCTGAAATCCACTTCCATTGAACAAAAACAGTAGTAAAAAATATATTGAAAAATAAAGATTAAAAATGACACCGTATAATATGTCATGCAGTGACAGCTTGCGCTGTCTCACGATCTGTTAGTCCAGTCAAAATATGCGAAAAAATGCTTAGCTCATGAAGCGAAAAATTGGTACATGTCCTATATACACTGTTTCATCGGTTCGGACTTCCATTGTGTAATATAATATAAATTGATTTGAAATCCCTGAAAAAAAATTAAAAAGATTAGCTGCAAATTAACAATTATATTGAGCAAAAAAAACTGAAATTACAAAGAAACAACATACAAGCAACAACCAAAGAAATGAAAATTGAAATATCAATGAAAATTGAAAATCAAAAAAATATTATTAACAAAAAGTGAAGATTTAAAATTGAAAGATTTCAAACCAAGTTACGTCACGACGTTTCGATTGTTAGTATCCACAGTCGTTTTCGGGTGATAACTGGACTTATTCCGAGGTCTGATTATTTATAGGTCATTCGAGTGCTTTCAGCTATCCTCTCTTCCCTCACTTCGCTTCATTGGTTTTAGCGGGAGACGACCGTTTGACGGGAGATAGTCGTTTTTCACTTGATTAGAAGTTTCCATATGTTACGTATCTCTACGCTAGCTTGATCAAATGTGTTGTTGGACACCATATACGCGGCTTCTTTGAATTTCCTGCTAAACCAATGTTCCTCTTTTCAATCTGGAGTAACCATTCCGTTGAAGGTCATTTTTGATGATGCCTAGTTTCTTTTCGAGACCTTCATTTGTATTACAGAGCCCAAAAGCACGGTCTAGTAGAGTCTTGATGACTTCTCTCTTAGTCGATTGACGGTGGTTGGATTGCTAGTTCAGATACTGTCCTGTATGAGTGGGTTCTCCCATTTATTGTCGGTCCTCTTCACCAATACGTCCAAGAAAAGCAATTCGTTGTGCAATTCCTTCTCCATTGTGAAAGTGATGGAAGGACTTACGTTGTTGATGTGCTTCAGGAAAATGTCTAAACTATCATTTGTATAAGTCTTGCCATCTGCTGAGTAGAAGCAAAGTTACAAACTGACAACCAACTAAAACGGCAAAGGAATCTAGATGTATGGTTCATTTTCCAACAAGTAGTTTCAATGAAAATTGATAGAGGTTACTCTCCAGTATATTGTATCATAGTATAAAAATTATGATTGTAGTACCTAATTGTAGTTTCTGAAAATTTCGAAAAAAATCTAGTCATTCTGTAGTAACAGTTAGTTATTGCGGGGTTCTAGAAGTTTTGATCCTCTTAACACCTTTCTGAATCAATTCTGGAAATTCGAAAATGGAACACAAAAAATTATATTGAAAGAAGGACAACTCCGAGTCGAGAGAAAATACGATGCTGACTAGAAAAAGGGCATTCATAGATGGTATGAATAAGGACCACATTGTATGTAGATTTAGTTTAATCTTTCTTTTGGAGATGATCACTTGGTATTCAAAACACGTGTTGAGGTGTTGAAAATAACGGTTTGGGGTTGGGATAAAACTGCTTTTGAAAATAGTTTGTCTTCAGTAAGTATGTCCAAAATTTTAATATGTGATCTATGCTGAAGATTCAAATATCAATTTCTCAGACCCTGCAAGTGATTCTTGTGTTTACCTGAGTGAGAATATTTCTGCTCAAAACAGATAGTCTATCAGTCTTCATGCTTTTCTTCCGCTAGCAAAATCCTGCATGTTATAATATGTCAACTAGTTTATTGATGCAATCATTTTTCTGAAAGAAAAAGGTTGATTAGGTGAAAGGATGATTTTTTTATTTAAAAATATATTGTTTTTTTCCCAACGTTTCTAATTTAAGTAAATTCTCCTTCAGGGCTCTGTAGCAACAATGAATTTTCATGAACATATCTCCCAAAAAACGTATACGATTATTATCGTTTCAATTTTACAAGAGGTAATGAGTTTTTAATCAGATTACTCACCGAAAAGTTGTTTCTTCCTGTTAAGGATATAACTTTTTTAATACCGGCAGACATATTAGATATATGAGGAAAACTAAAAACATTGCTACAACTGAATTTTCGAAACAACACCAACACAAAACGACATGAAACAAATGAATGGTAAATAATTTAGGTTTTTCACTTATAAAATTGAAATATCCAGTATTAAGGCCATCGACATCTCTTCTAGTGTTGACACTATCGCATTTGAAGATATGGATCATTTCGCTCAAAGTCTTTTTGGATAAATATGGTTGAACATCTAGAGTAGTTGGATGTTGGATGATAAAAATAAAAAATTTCCATATTCTTTTTCATGTTTAACGAGGGTTATGGGTTCTTTATATTTAGTGTCTTAGAGTCTCTCATGTTCAACCGACAACTGCGGTAGCAGAAATTTGGGAAGCTAACCTGAAATGCCATCGGAAAACGAATCACATGTTTCTAGAAATTATATGAAATCTAGAATGGTTAATGCAGTCAAACTACTGGAAAATAATTTCATGAATATCAAAAAATAAATAGGTGGTTTCACTTATGTCTCGCTTGCGTTTACGCAGCTATTTTTGTCAAGTACTTTCTTGGTTTTTCTCATCTGCCCGGTATTGACGATGCCCATAGGCTGAAATAGCTGTATACCGGTGGCTCTTAAATTTCTTGAAATCAATGAAAATTAAATATGAATTATTCTGAAAAATATTATATCTGATGCTTTTGGACCTGATAATATCAACTTCAATGTTGTTTCCTAATTTCACAGCACATATGTCACTTATATGAATATATACAAAAGAAATGTTTATCTATCAATCTGAAAATATTTTTCACCACCCAAAATGAACAATATTGGAAGTCTGAATCATCTTCATCCAAATAGTACGACATCGAAAGTATTGAAACATATTCTTAATTTGTCACTTGAATGATTTCAATGTATTATCATCCTGTCAAACAAGGTTCAGGACAAACCACAGCTGTATAACAGTACTCTTGAAAGTTGGTCTGTCGACAATAACAAACTTTGTCTTTGAGTATTGTTGTCTAAATCATTTGATCGTAACAACCTCTCCTTTTTCTGGCAATATTGAAATAACATGATTTGGGTTCTAACGTGGTGACACTGCTTAAAAATTACCTACTCAGCCGTTCATACTCCATAACATAAAATCGAATGTTTTCAAAATAAAATCGGGATCCCTAAAGGATTGATTGAAGGTCCCTTTCTTTTCATTTTATATACTTCCCAGATCCCACACTACCTTCTCAATATGTTCATGCAGTGTTGCGCCGACGTGGTTATGTTGTGATTGAAATTACTTAATAAAGCGCTAAATCAAATGCTGTAAATGCTTCCGAATCATATGTTATGTTTTTTGAGAGACCAACTGCAAAGAATCGTTGTAGCGACTTGATTTATATAATCATAGGCATGATTTAATTAACAAGTTTGAATTTACATGTTAGGTATCATACGTTGAAAGATAAGACCTCGTTAGTCCTTAGCTCGAACAAGTTTCGACTTTTGAGAGTTGTCGTTCGTAGGAGGGGACAGCTGGTTAACGGAATATTAGATTTCAAATAGATTTGAACAGATCTCCAGGATTCTCTGACATTCACCACACATGTTTTCCAAATTCTGAGAAAGGGTTATATGAATCTCAGCTCAGTGTACTGAATTCAAAACATACACTATTCACAATCACCAGAAATGCAATACTATTTTTGACGCGCGTTTCACTAACCAAGTTGACATCTTCAGGAAATGAAGACAACTTATTCCTAACTTTAAAACTGCTTGCTTTGGATTTATTCTTCGCCATAGGTTATAGTTTTACCCTTCATCGGCGTAAAAACCTTTGGAAAAAAAATAAAAGATTTACTCTGCGACGCACTGATGTTACCATACTCCATTTACCTAGATTATTGTTCAGGAGTCTGAAATCTGATGAGCGATCTGAATTTATTTAGTATTCATCTACCAAACATTTGTAGAAAACATCAAAATCATCTGAATTATCTTAAAAACTCTTTAACTATATTAAATTCATTTGGTGACATGACTTTCCAAATTCAGGGAATCAAAATCTGAAATTTTGAGCTTCTATTTATCGTACTACTTATCTATTTGGATCAGATGGATCAAAAACACCTTTCGATTCTGGTGTAGATGTTTTCAGTCACAGACCCAGGACAGAGATATCAACCTACCTCGGAACCTATGCGACTGTATTTCAAGCAAAAATTAACGCTATCGAATTGTTTGCGTCAATAAAAATATTCTCGGACAGTCCAGCGGCGTTGGAAGCTCTAGGCTCCTACCGAGCAACGTCTCAATTAGGGGCAAATTGACAAAAACGACTCTTCTAGATATGAAGACTAACAGATTGTCTCTGGTCTGAATTCCTAGCCATACTAGCCTAGAAGGCAAAAAGGCTGCTGACTCCCTTGCAAAAGAGGGTGCTGCCAGTAGCTTCATCGGACCATAACCTGTCTTTGGCATAGCCTTAGGCTTTTCCAAATAAACATTGGCAAGAAGAGTTATGGACTTCTGGCAGAATCTTCCAGGATTGGCTCACTCCAAGGCGTTCATTCACCCTTCAAAGCTTGATTCCAAACAGTTGTTGGACTACAGTAGGGATGAATTAGGATGTCTAACAGGCCTCCTCACAGGTCACTGTCATTTGAATCATCATATGCAGAGACTCGGACTGTCGAAAGACAGTGTGTCGTCGCATCTGTTTGGAAAATGATGAAACAGCAGAGCATATATTAATAGATGTTCATATAATAATCTTTGATCAATAAATGAATATTACATTAAACTTTTGAGTATTTTTTCAAATATCAATTTTTTTGTACAATAATATTCAGTTTCAATAAATTTAACTTCAAATTCCTCATTCCATTGGTCCAATGATGGGAAGAATCATTGCATCCGTGATTACTGGAAAGAAAACAGCGGTGGCAAACGTATCACCAACAGCTACAACACAATTAGATCAGTGATACGTTCCTCAGTCAAAACCCTTGGGCTCAATGGGTTGAAAAATATTGGCAACACCTGTTTCATGAACAGTGTACTCCAATGT